CAAGTAGGCAGAGAGGCAGGCAGAGAGAGAGAGGGGGGAAGAAGCAGGCTCCCCCTGAGCAGAGAGCCCAGGACCCTGGGATCATGACCCAAGCCGAAGGCAGAGGTTTAACCCAATGAGCCACCCAGGTGCCCCTATTTTTTTTTTTCTTTTAGATTTTTATTTATTTATTTGACAGAGAGAGACACAGAGAGAGGGGGAACATAAGCAGGGGAAATGGGAGAAGCAGGCTTCCCAATGAACAGGGAGCCCAACATGGGGCTCGATCCCAGGACCCTGGGGTCATGACCTGAGTTGAAGGCCCACAGTACGACTGAGCCACCCAGGTGCCCCACCCCCATTTTTTTCCCCTTAATTGTCAGACACTTTTCCTACCTCTTCAAATGCCTTGTGGTTTTTAAAAATTGTATGCTCGAGGTCATGCAAAAAAGAGACTGAAGTCAATGTTCTTCCTTCCCACATAGGATACATACTTCTTATTAGGCAAAAAAATGAGGGACTGATCATCCTAATTGTATTGGAAATTGTGCTGTGTTATGGCTTTAGTTAGACTCAGTGCACCTCTGGCTTCAAATGTCTTGAGGGCAAGATTTTTTGTATGCTTATTGAAGGCCCCTTCCTCTACTGACTGTTTTGTAGACAAAGGTACTTTGAGACTTGGTAGCTTTTGCCTTTGCAGGCCAATCCCTAGCCTCCTGAGTGGCCCAGGCACTCAGCCAATGCCTCAGAGACGAAATCAGTCAGCTTGACAAAACCACTTCAGTGGCCATCAAAAGCCTCATTAGTTTTGTTTTTTCCTGGCAGAGCCCTCTACCTAAGGAAAGCTTGATTCCAGATTCTGCAAATAACCCTTAAGAAAAAAAATCTCAACTTACCTAAGAAGGAGTTTTTTCTCTCTTAACTTTGAGTTCTTTTACTCTTCCTGGCTTCTACAGTTTTCCAATATCTTTCAAAATATTTCATAATTTGTTCATTTTTTTCTTGATAGGGAGGGATGCCGTCACTTCCCCCTACATTTTACTCTGAAGCAGAAGTTTTCTCATGTTCTTTTCCAATTAGTTCAAGTCAAGATTCGAACAAAGTCCACACATTCCATCCTCAAGATCCTGAATTTATAGATTTTCCCATCATTCTTTGTTTATGTTTTTCAATTTATTTGTTGAAGAAAGTGGCTTATTTGTCCTGCTGAGCTTTTGGATCCCACTGATTGACTCTGCTCAATATCATTTAACATGTTCCTCTGCCCCCTGTATTTCCTAAAATCTGGCAATTAGATCTGCAGTATTAATAATATTCAGGTTTAATTTTTTTGGCAAGATCATTTCGTAGGTTGTACTGTGTACTTCCTCTTTTATCACATAATTCCTATGTATTCTTTTTTCTTATTTATTTATTTATTTATTTATCTATTTGACACAGCAAGAGAGATCACAAGCAGGCAGAGAGAGAAGGGGAAGCAGGCTCCCCGCTGAGCAGAGAGCCCAATGCGGAGCTCGATCCCAGGACCCTGAGATTACGACCTGAGCTGAAAGCAGAGGCTTAACCCACCGAGCCACCCAGGCACCCCTGTATTCTTTTTCAAAAAAAAGTATTGTTAAAAGACATTTATTTATTTGAGGACATGGAAAGGCAGAGAGAGAGGGACCAGCAGACTCCATGCTGAGTGTGGAATCCCTCTTGGGGCTCAATCCCACGATTCATGAGCTCATGACCTGAGCTAGAACCAAGAGTCAGATGGCCAGTCAACTTAGCCACCCAGGTGCCTCTCAAAAAAACTTTTCAATCTAAGTATAGTTGACAATTCCTACGTATTCTCTATGTCCAGCTCAAATGTCATTTCTTCTCAGTAGTTTTTCCTGATCTGCATTCTTTCAAACCTCTCCTGTCATTTCTATTTCCATAGTACTTTACCTCTCATCATCACCCTTTCATTTAGGAGTCATGACACTCCCTTTCACAATGGCTGTTTGTAGTTTGGGAGCTCATTGAGGGCAAAAATCATACTTTATTCATTCTTTTATCCTCATGCCATGGTATCCTGTCTATTTGGGCAGCTATAACAAGATACCATAAACTGCCAGCTTATAAATAACAGAAATTTATTTCTCCCAGTTCTGGAGGCTGGGAAGTCCAAGGTCAGAGTGCTGGTGTATTTGGTGTCTGGTGATTACCCACTTCCTGATTCATAGATGGCCCTCTTCTTGCTATGGACCAGGTGGTGGTGGCAGAAGGTAGGAGGGATCTCTCTGAGGCCTCTTTTACAAAGGACACTAATCCCATTAATAATTTTAAGGGTGATCTAATCGCCCCCCAATGGCCCCACCCTCTAATTTGTACAACCACCTTGGGGGTTAAGATTTAAACATACAATTTTGGGGGGATACATTCAGAACATAACATTCTACTTCTGCCCTCCAAAATTCCTGTCCTTCTCACATGTCATCAATTCAAAGGTCTAAGTCCAAAGTCTTATCTAACTATCATCTAAATCAGGTACGGGTGAGGCAGCATGTTTCAATTCATTGGGCTTTGTGGTATTTAACATATTTAGACACAGCTGCCTAAGGTTACCTATTTTGACCAGTTTCTTTTCCAGACCTGCTTTTCCGCAGGTCTAGTGATTCCACTTAGTTCTTCACATTTAAAAATCACACCCCAACTCCCATTTACTGTAGATCATCATCTGCTTCGAGGTATTTTTTTTTTTTCAGTAGTGGAGAAAACTTTGTGCTAAGACACTTATACTTTTAGATCCAGTCTGTACTGGTTTTTCAGCCTTGACCATGCTGTGAAAAGTGAGCTAAGCAACCCAAACTGTAGTATTTTATATGGTTTGAACTGTCTTAGAATTTCAAGTGATTTGCATTTTGGAAGAAGACTCAGCCTTTGAATTGTTACTCAATTTACATTTTCTTTAATGTTGTACTATTTGCAGTCAATTAACCATTTTTTTAAAAATCTTACTACTTTGGGAAAGGTGGATGTTAAAGACAGACTGTAATACAAGCACCAATTTGGGTCCTTCTGAGGTCATGCCTCAAAGGCAAGATTTGGCTATGTTGTAGTTGCAGCAAAAAGGACCAGAGTCTAAACTCTACCACTTGCTGCCCAAGTGTCAGAAGCCACTGATTCCATGTTTAAAGACCTTCCTCTGATGGGAATGTGGCAATACAAGGCAGCTGGTGTGAGAGGGTGGCAGCCCACAGAAATTGGGCTCTCCATGCACTTTCTAGTCTCCTGTTTTAAGTGTGAACTATTTTCTTGGTTTTGACAAATTTCTATGCCTGTCCCTGCTACCTTGATAATTCATTCTGAGTTTGACCCTGTTTTCTAGTTAAGTCCTTGGGGCCATAGCAAGTACCACTGGCTGTGTTCCAGGGGATCTGGCTTTTGTATTTATCCATTGTCACCATTCTTGGTCCCCCCTTGGGCTCTGCCATCCTAGCAGTCATTGGAACTTGGTTTAGGCCAAACTCCTACTCATCCTTCAGGTGCCAGGTCACAGGTCTTTGTCATGGGGAGGACTTCCTTGACACCCAAGATAGGTTCAGGCCTTCCTGATGTATGCCCTCAGACTTTCCTGTATTTTACCTTCAAGGTACTTATCACAATTTATAATTATTTTTGTCATCTATTCTGCTCATCTCGTATCTTCAACACCTGGGACAGTACCTGATATACAGTAGGAGTTCAATAAATGTATTGAGTAAACAGGAACAAATGAAGCTTGTGATGTGGCCTCCCACCTCTTTTAGGGTACAATTGTCTATAACCTCAAGCTAGTTACAAAACTTATCTGAGTCTCAGTTTATGAATATAAAGTAGGGTTAATATTGTACTATCTACCCCACAGTTTGGGGTGTGCATGGAGCCGATGCTTAGTGAATGTAGAATGAGTGATTCAACATGTCATCTCTGTGATAAGAGACACCTATATTTTAACAAGAATTTCTTTCACCTAAGAGATGAGAGAAATTAAGTACCCAGGCAAGAAGGATCTTGTTTATCGAGTGGAAAATAAAATTCAGGATACCTTTCCCCAGGGGTCCATTATTTCTCTTCTGCTTACAGCTTAATACAAGATATTTTTTAAAAGGGAGTGGGACTTTTTTTTGCATGGATTTGGGCCAAATTGGTAATGATGGACTTTTCTAATTCCTAAGAGGTTTGTATATGTCATAGATTTTAAGTTTGGTCCACCAAGAATCAGATTTTAGATTGCTTGTATCTTAAAAACTTGTAAGAAAGCAGCAGTGGTAAATGTGAATCTGATACCAAAGACAGCTCTATAAAGCTAACATCCCCATCAGTTGGTACAGCTGATTGGTCTTCTGAAATAATGGTAGGATAAGATCGTGACCTTGGAGTGATGGCAAAATTGTTTTCAGCCTAACAATTCCTTGTATTACAAAACTCACAGTCTGACCTAGCTTAGCCTATTTCTGCTTTTCCACCATCAGTGCAGTGAGGATACCTTGCATATAAATTACAAGTGCTACCCAGTTTCTCCTTTTCTTGCTCATCTCTTTTTCACCACGTCCACCCACTTCTGGAATTTCTCCCACCCAACATTTCCTTAGGCATACAGAATACAGAGAAGGGAAAAGATGCAGGAAAGGTCCAAATGTAACTAGAGTTATATATTTTATTTGAGCCTCATCTCTTTAGAGAAAGGTAAACAGACAAAAGGAGGGAGTTAGAGATGGTTGGACAATATACCCCAGAGGTGTGGGGTATGCAAAGAAGGAAATCTTTCACTAGACTATCTGCTGAAGGTGAAATGAGGTAAGTCTAGATAGGGAATTCGGAGATAATTCTTGGTGTTTAGATTGTGATCTGGGAGTGAGATCCCAGTGCTGAGCAAGCAAGAGGCCAGCAGATGGAGGAGTCCCAAAACAAATATTGTTCGTTTGTAACTAGTCTAGGTCTTCTGACCAAGTGAACCCATTTGGGTTAGGAGGTTTTGCCCAGGGACTGACTCCTTATTCCCCGTTCATTTCCTAAGGATCTGTGGTTTTATTGCCCTTGGGTGAATATGAATTCTTAGGTAGATTCCTCCTCTCCAATGACTGTGTCCTAGGCCGATCCTGAGTTGGGGACCTGGGAGGCATAGACTGATAGAGAGGCCAGTACTGTTGCCGAGGATAAGTCTGAGCCCTTGGTTTGGGTTTGGACTTAGATTCAGGATCGAGCTCCAATTCAGGCTCTACCTCTGGTTCGGGCTCTAGCTCAGCCTCCATCTCACGATCCAGGTCCAGCTCTAGGTCCAGCCCAGGTTCTTGTTCTGACTCCAGCGGGGGCTCCATCTCCAGGTCTAGCTCCGACTCCTCCTCTGTTATTGGTTCCTGAAACATGCTGTAGTCTGAATTTATGTGTTTGGAGACATCTAGAAGATGGCCTGACACTCCATTCTAAAATACACACAATTGGATGGGTTAAAATTTCCAATTAAATTTAACTTTTGAACAGTCAAGGAATTTCAGAATACAATAGGACTTAAGATACGTGAAATCATGAGTTCCTGGCAAAGTAGAAAATATTTCTGACTCACATCTGCTTTTCAACTTTGCACCTTCTAGTTCCTTGTTTACTCCCTATTCTTTAGACTAACTTCTGATTTCTTTGGCTTTCCTAGCTAGCCTGGATTTCATGGTCAATCATTAAAGCAGCAGTGTCTTGGCAGTAATCTGAAACATCTTGTCTTCTTGATCTTACTTGTCTTTCCAACCCTCAGTGTAATTTTGGTAGGGCATGTAAGGCCCTTTGTGACCTTGCCTCTTGCCATCTACTTTAGCTTTACCCACATCTGTAGTCTCCACCCTTTGCTCTAGCCTTAAAGATAACCAAAGATGTCTGACTTCTGCTTACCTTCGCTCATGCTGCTCCCTGTGTCTGCCTTGTCCTTCTCCACCTTGTCCACATACACTTACTCACTGTTCCAAATTCAGATCAAAGAGGACCAACCAGGATCAGAGCTTCCTTTGTGTTCTAACTATACCTCACACACACCTCTATCACCGTGCCAATAACGTATTGCCTTATTTATTTACAAATATGTTTCCCCTATTAGACTCTAAGCTCCTTGAGGTAAGGCAGTTCCTGGTTTTTGATAACCCCAGTACCAGGCACTGAGCCTGCCCTATAGCAGATGCCCCACAGGCTTGGTGAATCAGTTTTGCAGAAGCATTCCATAGAATTAACAACTTTCACCTCTCCTGAAACAATTTTTTCTCTTCCACCATATGACATCTTTTGCTTTTCCTCTTTACTTCCTGGTTGCTTCTTTCTGGTTTATTTGTTATCTCCTCTACTTCTTTTGGACTTCTAAATGTTGGCAAGCCCCAGGGCTCGATCCTGGGACCTTTTCTTCTGCACCTATGCTCCTTCCATTAGGCAATTTCATTTAGGCCCATAATTTTCATTATTATATATGTGCCAATGACTTTGTGGTTATAACCCTTCCTCTGATCTGCTCGTTCATATACCCATTTCCATTCTGGCATCTCCACTTGAACGTTTAACAGGCATCTTGAATTTAATACATTCAAAGTAGAATTTGCTCCTCTCTTAAGTTCCCTAGTTTAGATGCCAGAAAAAAATTTGGCATATTCAATACCAAGTCTTAATATAAGTCCTGATAAGGATGTTAGTAGACTAGAAAAATGCTTTTTAAAAACAGAGTAAATATAATGTCTATCTTAAGCCAACTGTTACCACTATCCTTAATAGAGATACATAAGAAGCTTTTCTCATAAAATTCAGGAGTAAGACAAGACAGCTCATTATTACTTACGTTGTTCTGGGAGATCTAGCTATTGCCATAATATATGATACTGAAATAAGAATTTTGACAATTGGAAAATAAGGTATTTATATTATTTGTAGAAAATATTTTTCTATCTAGAAAACTCAAGAGAATTAACAATGAAACCTCTTAGGTCTAATAAAAGGATACACAAAAGTGGCCAAATAATTTTATACAAGTGAATAGTTTCCTATAGGCTAGCAATTGCCTGGTAGAAAACATATGAAAAAGAATGTTCATTTAAAAAATCAGTAAAAGTATAAAACAAAGTATAAAGTACTTAGAATTTGTCTGTATAAAGAAAATCACAATACCTTACTCTGAATGCAACATTTAAAAAGACTGAATAAATGTGAAGACAGTCCATGTTCCTAGATAGGAAGAACAAATACTGTAAAGGTAACAACTGTCAACTTATTTCATATTTTTAATGCAATTCTAATGAGAATTCTAATGGGATTCTCTTTGGGGGGAGGGTGGGGTGCTGATAAAAGATTTAAAAGTTTGGAAGAATAAATTGGTGAGAATGACTTAGCAGATTTTGAAATAGAGCACTGGTGACACATGACTTCTTAAGCAAATGCTAAATGTATTACAAAGCTGTATTGAAGCTATACTCAACAATGAAAACACTAAGCTGGAAATAGACTTTAGTTTTCATAAGAATATTTTATAAAAATAGCATTTCTAATCAGTGGAGAAACGACAGCTTATCCAATGGATGAGTTAGCTCAGAATGGTTAGCTGTACAGAAAAGAAAAAGATTACTCTTTAACACCACACTGAAATGCATTCTAACTAGATTAAAGAGTATAACATATAAACACTTAAAACATAAAAATCTAGAAGAAAATATAAACGATTAATTTACTTCCTAAGTGAGATGACATCCTAAATAAAAGGCAAATGGAAAATAAGGTTAATATAGGAAAGACAATGTAATATGTAAAGCAAATCTGCCAAGTATATCATAATTATAAATAAAATAGAGAAAATTCCACTTATAGTAAAGGCAGACTACATAATTCAGACCTCCTACTGAGGACAGCCACAAGAGCTGGATAAAATATTTTAAAACTTCTGCTTGAAGACACTACAAAGCTAACAAACATCATGAAGAACTACCAGGCCAAGATTTGGAAAAGGTGAAAATCTACAGAGGTGAGTCTGGCATTTGGGACCAGTTTTGTAGAAGGTTTTTGATGATCTTGAAGTGACACATATATACGGAGCAGTGCTTTTGACAACTTTAAGGGCTTAAGAGTTGTCAAAGTTGCTTTCCAGGGTCTGCCGAGGGAGGGGCTGTGGCATGCCTTCCCACAGACTGAGGCTGGGCTGTGGGTCATCTGGAAGGCCTAGAACACCTCAAGTCCTAAAATCAGATCAGTTACCCTGGATTGCTAGTGCCTCCAGGTACTTGGCAAAACAAATTCTTTCCAGAAGGAAAGTATCATCCTGGGCCTCAAATTATTTTTACAAACATTTTCTAAATACAATGTCTGGCAAAAACCCAAAGATTACCAGGCACACTGGACTTTGATAGTGAAAGATGTACATTGAATCTCTAAGGCAGTAGTTCTCAAAGTGTGGTTTCTGTACCAGTAGTATCAGATATTAACCAGTACTTGTTAGAAGTGGAAACTCTCAAGCTCTACCCCAGACCCAACGAATCATAAATTCAGAGGATGTGGAGCACAGAGGGGCCCTGCAGTCTGTTTTAACAGCATATTTTGGTGATTCTGATGCATACTAAAGTTTGAGAGCCACAGGAAATCTCCATGCATAAGTAGGGTGACCTCTTGTCAGAAATGTTAAGAGAATTAATGCTCCAGATGGGGATGAACCTAAGAAACTCTGAGGTTTCTTCCAACTGAAAGGTTTTGTGACTCTATGATTTTATAGATGGGAGTGGGGTATAGAGCAGAACAGAAAAAATATGTCCATTGAGGAAAAAGTTGTTCAGGGTAAGCAGAGGCACATAATCTGTGAGATTTCTCAATAATTAAGGGAAATACATTACTTTAAAAAGAAAGTGGGGCACCTGGCTGACTGTTTATAGAGGATGTGACTCTTGATATCTGGGTCATGAATTCAAGCCCCACATTGGGCAGAGAACTCACTTAAAAAGAAAGGGAGAAAAAAAAGGCCATATTTTACAAGCTTAGATCTCTTTTACTTCTTAAAGTGTTCAAAAAAGCAGCTTCTGGGTGGCTCAGTCATTAAGTGTCTTCCTTCAGCTCAGGTCATGATCCCAGGGTCCTGGGATTGAATCCTGCATTGGGCTCCCTGCTCGGCGGGAAGCCTGCTTCTCCCTCTCCCACTCCCCCTGCTTGTGTTCCCTCTCTCGCTGTGTCTCTCTCTGTCAAATAAATAAATAAATGAAATCTTTAAAAAATAAATAAATAAAAATACTGAAATAGGCCCAGGTCCTTACTTAGTATTAATAAATGGCTAAAAATTCTGGCTTATAGATCATTCTCCTTTGTGTTTGTCAGGTTGAGTAAATCTTATGTTACTACCAATGTAAATGAGAGCCAAAGTGTTAGACTGGCAGGTCTTTACCTCTGCTAGTTCATCAATTCTATTATTCATCCCAAGGGTGATGTAGGGATGGATTCTAAAGCTATAGCTAGGGGAGATATTTAAAATATTTCATTTAAATATTTAAATAAAAATAAAAATATTTAAATATTTAAAATATTCAGTAACTGGAATGGCCCTGGCACTAACCAAGCTTGCTATAAAGGGATCCTTGAGACCTCTGCTGGGTTGGGTAACACTCTCTTCAGTTGGGAAAGGGTCTTGAACGGAGCCCAGATGCCATAGCAGTGGGGGGAACTTGGGACTCAGTTCCAGTGCTATTTACCAACTGGTAAGGGAGCCCTTCAATGTCCCAAAGTCTGGCACAGCCATACTCAAAAACTTTCCTGGCCATTGTTCATCTCGACTTAATCAGGTGTCTCCCCCTGCCCATCCCCCACCGCGATGCCTCACGTCATCCAACCTTGTCTGTTTCTGAGTAGGTTTCCTGTATCACTGTCTCAGATTCGTCCACGCTTAACTCAGATGACTCTGGAAACTTCCTTGACAGGGCAAACAGCACAGCGTCATGGAGAGTGAGGAACAGCTGGGACTTCGTGATGCCAGCGTCAAAGAAATCATTCTTCTCAAATGCCCTGACCACAGAAGCTACAAACCAAACCCGAACACACACAGGGTCAGACACCTGGGGAGGAGAGCGCCAGGGTGCAAACAGCCCTCTCACAGAGTGGATACTCACAGTGACATCCTGAAATGAGTACCAAAATGTTTGCGTTTTGGAAAGCATTGCACATCTGTGGGGAGAGAGGGAGAGGAAAGCAGCGTTAGTGATCTTCATGCTCACGAGGAAAGGGCCTTTGGATTAGCTAAGTTTTAATACCCCTTTGGTCATTCACTTGTCTGGAGTATTTGTACTTCTGCTTTCCAGTTCAGCTCTCTAAACATTTGATGAGTGGACTTCCATATGCCAGGAAATGTCTAAAGTGTTAGAAATACAGAAGAGAATCACACGTTCTCATGTGGGGGCGGGGACTGAGAGGGTGTGTCACCCATGGGCTCAGGTGGGAAACAGTTCACACCAAGAGATGGTGCTCCTGAGGACAGTGCTAAGACAGACACAGGCATGGGTGTGATGGGAACATACCGGACAGCCCTCAGGAACAGCCAGGTCTTGGTATTATTGTTTAGTGTATGCATGGGACCCCTTCTTCCTGGAATTTGCTGAGCAGAGGAGAAAAAAACCAAAAACATGCCAAGAGATGGTTAAGTGACATAGTAGAGAATGGAATTCAGGAATCCTGAACCTTGTATTCAGAACTCCTCTGCACAGCCCTGCAGTGCAACCGAAGATGGAAAAGCCCCAAAGGTAAGACACTGAGTATAACTGAATCTGAAAATTGGGTGGAGACAAGGATGTCTTGGATGGGGGAGCCCTTAACATTAACTTCTTCTGAGCCTCTCATTTTATAGATGAGGAAGTGAAGACCCAGTGTAATTTACTAAACTACCTTGGGTCAGATGGATGGAGAACAGTAGCAAAGCCAGGATAGAGGACACAACCACGGACAGCCAACCAGAGTTCTTTTTGCTCCCAGAAGTTTCCTGTTGCCTCAAGACCCAAGAGGAACTGGAATCCCGTAAGAGAGAATCAGAGTTCTTTAGGAATAAGAAGATTTTATAGGATCAGAGGATAAAAGAAGGAAAGTCAACTGAAGGGATAGATCTCAAGGAAAAAAAAAGTGGGCACAGTCAGACCCGGGAAGTGAGTGTTTGGGTTGTTTACACATGAGCCATCACCAATGGAAGAAAGAATGTGACAGGGCTGCACATGGACATAAGGTGGTTTAAAAGCAGATATTATACTTATGAGACATTAGCAATAAAGCTGATATGGCTAGTTATGGGTCTAAACATTGCATAAGAAGGAGAGGAACCATGACTGTCAGAGAAACCAGAGAGGAGGAGAGAAGCCAGGACTCAGGGACACAGTTTCTGAAGGAAAAGTCGTCCCTGCCCTCTTTACCCAAAGATGCAGGCAAGGTGGAAGGAACTGGGGAGATCCTGTAGGTCCTGGACCAGGCAGCACCAGGCTTGTCATGTCCTCTTACCACATCCTCACATCTCTGCATCTTTGACAATGTCCACTGCAGAGCTGCAATATTGCAGAAGATTCTCAGTGTGTTTTTTTTCTGTAGCATTCAGACCTGTTCTTGAAAAGGTCTGCAGTGAACTCCCAGGATATCCTAAGAGTGACTGGGTGTGTAGCACAGATGGCTACCTCAGTGGTATTAAAATTACCCACTTTTGAGTTTTGAGAAAGAATATGCCATGCTTAGAGAACCAATTCCAGTTCAATTGAGTGGTTCATTTTCTTTTTAATCTGATTGACCAACCCCCCCCCCCAGACTTTTTTTTTTTTTTTACATTTTATTTATTTATTTGTCAGAAAGAGCGAGAACATAAGCAGAGAGAGTGGCAGGCAGAGGGAGAGAGAGAAGTAGGCTCTCCGCTGAGCAGGGAGTCTGATGCGGGGCTCAATCCTGGGACCCCGGGATCATAACCTGAGTCAAAGGCCAACGCTCAACCTACTGAGCCACCCAGGCACCCCTTACTCTGGTTTACCTTAAATTGTCTTTAGTGGCCAAGTTTCTAGTGGTCCCGGAGTCACATAGCAGCCGATTAGTGACTGACGGTGTTTAGTCAGGATGCGGGCAGGCACAGGTAGGAGGGGATCCTGGCTCTTGTGAAAGCCTCCTCAGTACTTACCTGTCTTAATGACACTGAAGCCTGTGGATCCACAAAATGGACCATGGAGAAATCCAGGATAATGGTGTGGATACTGGTTAGAAGAGAGCTATCTGAGAAGGGGAGGAATGATCTGTTCCTTCCCTGCTTTTCAGCAATGCCAGGCAGTGGCATTGAGCTGTTTCTAGAGGGGTTATTAGAAAGCCAGGCTTGGTCCACGTCCTTGTAGTTTTGTCCGGGGTTTCTGTGGGAGGTGGAAGATTGGGCGTAAGGTACTTGTTCATCCGACATGGACTGGCTCATGTTCATGCTGTCAAAACGCGAGCAGCGGATCAGGTTAATGGAGGAAGAGTCTTGGTCCTGTTTACTTTCAAATTGTTCCGTGTAGACAACCTGAGACGACAGAATTAGGGGAGGACTGTGAGGAGGCTTAGAGAAGGGCAACCACTATGCCATTTCTGTCTACGGACTCACCGCCCTCTCTCGCAGGAAAGCTCCCTGTGGACCAGGAGCTTGGATTTCACATGGATACCTCATTGTCCCTTTGAGCTCACACCTAAAACTACATGCACCATCATTTCCCTCCCAGTTTCCTTCGGTGCACCAGTGATGATTTCATTGTCCTGTGAGCCAGACTTAAGATCATTTTTGCTTTATTCCTTCACCTCCTCCCTGGGTTCTAATTTGTCTCCAGCACCTCCTAACATATTGTCTGAGGTGTTTCTTCTATTGTCCCCTTTCTCAATGCCTCCATATTTCACCAGACTTCCTTAAGAAGATAGAGGTTACTTGAGCGGGGCTGTCTTTACCTTTTGCTCCTTTCACCCTAATAGGCTTGGAGTGCCTGCCATAGCTTAAGGACAGTACCAAGCACCGGGAATACAACAGTATGCAAGGTGTGGAATGCCCTGCTCCGCAGTCACAGGCACCAGGTTCTGCCTGGGGAGAGGGCATGCGCCCATTCAAAGGATAAACAACAACATAGGTAGACAAGAACTATAAAGTACATGGAAAAATTTTTTAAAAGTTCATTTGCTAGAGTGGTATAGTTGGGGTGATGTTTCTTCTAGGAAAAAACTGCACAAAATAGTACGTGTTTATAGCAAAAAAAAAAAGTAATGTGGATGGCTAATAAATTATAATTCAATGGAGATGGGTGTTTCTCAAGAGTTGAGAGTTACTGAGGCCAGGCTTTTGGGGGAACAGTGGAAGACGGGCTCAGTGGTGGGGAGATGCAAGGTCCTCCAGGTGAAAGGAGACCTCTGAGAGCCTCCCCTTACTCTCCTTCATCCACTCTACACGCTCTTGACCCTTAAGGACTTTCAAGATCCACTCGCACGGTTGTCTGCCTGAATTTCCCAGGGCTATTACTCGGAGGACCTCATACTTATTTCCACCCCAGTGTCTTTGTCCAACCTTATCCACAGGCTGGGAGTCCTCTTTTTTCCCACCTGATCTAAATTCAAATTTCTCTCTCCTGCCTAGCTCAAGTCCATTGCTACCAGGACATTTGCCTGACTTTTTGAAATCACGTCGATCTCTCTATACCTGACGTCTTAGAGTTGTTAAAATCGAAAAACACAATTTTGAACATGACAGTATACTGTATGGAATGGTTGACTGTCTTACTTTATCAATTTTTCCTTAAACATTTTATTTATTTGAGAGAGAGAAAGCACATGCATGTGTGTGCACACGTACTAGAGAAAAAGAGAGAGAGAGAGAGAGAGAGAGAGAGAGAGAAATCACGAGCCATGGGAGGGGCAGAGAAGCAGACTCCCCACTGAGCAGGGAGCCTAACATGGGAGTCAATTCTGGAATACTGGGGCTCAATCCTAGGACTCTGGGATCATGACCCAAGCCAAAGGCAGATAGATGCATAACCAACTGAGCCACCCAAGAGCCCTCTACTTCATCGATTTTAAGATGCACCACCAATTTATATGTCAAGAAAAGAAAAACAAGTCACTGCAAATTAAATTGTGACATGCCATCAATTACACAATGAGTCCAAATTTCAGAGAAGTGAAAAGAACATATATCCTAGGATGTATAATATACAGTAAAAGCCTTGTTTGTCACATTAATAGAGAGCCATCTCCCTAGCCTGACTTAAAATTTCATGTGTTGGGCCCCTGACTGGCTCAGTCAGTAGAACATGTAACTCTTGATCTCAAGGTTGTGAGTTCAAGCCCCACATTGGGTGTAGAAATAACTTAAAAGTAAGATCGCTAAAATAAAATAAAATTCCATGAATTGCTCCAAAATAATTCTGTGATTTTGAGGGGCTAAACATGGGTGGGAATAGAGATGAAACAAAATTGACTATGAGTTGATAAATCTTGAAGAGGATGGTGGGTATATTGAGGCTCGTTATACTTGTCTCTACTTTTGTTTATGTTCAAAATTTTCATGAAAAAAAACATTTCTAAAAAAGAACAACCTGGATGAACCTTGACGACATTACTCTGAGTGAAGTAAGCCAGTGAGAGAAAGACAAATCCTGTATGATTCCACTTAATGAGGGATCTGCAATAGTCAAATTCATAGAGACAGATGGTAGACTAGGGGTAGCCAGGGGCTGGGAGGAGGAGGAAATGGGGAGCTCTTGTTTAATGGGGACAGAGTTGCAGTTCTGCAAGATGAAACAAAATCTGCAGATAAGGGCGCCTGGGTGGCTCAGTTGGTTTGGCGTCTGCCTTCAGCTCAGGTCATGATCCTGGAGTCTGGGGATCAAGTCCTGCATCGGGCTCCCTGCTCAGTGGGGAGGCTGCTTCTCCCTCTGCCTCTGCCCCTCCCTCTGCTTATGCTCTCTCTATCTCTTTGTCACATATATAAATAAGTAAAATCTTAAAAAAAAAAAACCTGTTGATAGAAGGTAGGGATGGTTGCAGAACAAGGTGAATATATTTAATACTATTGAACTCTACACTTCAAAATCGTTAAGATGGTAAATTTTATGTGATGGGTTTTACCACAATAAAAAAGAAAAAGAAAAAAGAACTCCCTGAGGACAGAGACCCTTCAAATTTGTTTTCCTTTTTCAAAGTGTCACAGTTCTGGGTGCAGAGTAGAAGCTCAAGAAATACTAGGCAATCCTATTCTAAAATATATCTAAAATCTATTTTTTTAGATTTTATATATTTATCTTTATATATATTATATATTTTATATTATATATTATATATTATATAATATAATATATTATATTATATATATTATATATATTATATATAGATAAATATATAAATATTTATATATTTATCTAAATATATAAATATTTATATATTTATCTAAATATATCTAAATAAAATCTCTAAAATATATTTGCTGATGTCCTGTAAACACCCGCTATGATGCTCAGTGCAGTGTGGAAACAAAAATTAGATAAAGTGGTAATTCTCTCCTCTTGGGAAGGGAAGTTGGTGTTTTCAGGGAGTTGAGTAGAACCTATGCTCCATTAGGGTATATGGGAATGAGAATGGGTGCTTAGTGAGGAGGGGGACAGGGGTGTTTTTGTTGAGGGGAGTAAAGTTGTGTGTGTGTGTGTGTGTGTGTGTGTGTGTGTGCGTGCGCGTGCACACACGTGTGTGTGTACACAGAACTGCCCCTCCAGAGTATTGGTATAGACCGGTGAAAGGTCCCAAAGCTACAAATGAACTGTGTGGAAAGGGAATAAATATTAGACGAAGGGAATTAATTTAGACCACATCCGAGTTGGAAATAATGAATACTTTGTAATTCATCAGCTAAAATAACCTTCAGATGGTGTAAAATTTCCATCTACACTTATCTGCCCTCCACAACCCATCATCATCTCCTTGGTCACAGGCAGACATCAGGAGACCCTGGCACATCCTTGGGAACCCCAGCCACCACGACTCTGCTGCCCTAGTGGGAATTAGAAACAATTTTTTTTTTTTTTAAGAGGGGGGATGAGGAGCAGAGGGAGAAGGAAAAAGAGAATCCCAAGTAGGCACCATGCCCAGTACAGAGTCCAACTCAGGGCTCGATCCCACAACCCCAAGATCATGACCTGAGCCAAAGTCAAGAATCGGATGCTTAACCAACTGAGCCACGCAGGCACCTCTTAGAAAACAACTTCTAAGTCACTTGTCTTCAGAAATCTAAAGCCAGGCAGGTGAAAGGGAAACAGGTACAATTAAGGTCTTACTATCAATTTCAATACGCAGAGTGCACTCCCTGTGCTCAGATTACTCACTGGCCATTGAGTAGGGACTCAGCCATCTCCTCCTTCTTACTTAGGTCAAGATCTAAATCTCACAAGGGGACCCGTGTCTTCATTTCTGAGTAGAAATCTTTGACTTCCCATTACCCCAGAGCCCATCTCAGAGCCGAAATCCCTGAGGGGTTTTCAATTTTCTTTTCTTAGTTCTTCTCTTTAAAGGACTAGTGCACGTCTTTATAAAACGTGGGGGATGTTGTGCAGAAAGGAAGAGAGGCTTCTAACCCTGGGTGATGGCTCCACTTCGTCACAGTTGCAGAAACAACGACAAATCTTTTCTTCCTGTGAGCCTTCACTTCGATTAAACAGACGGAACACTTCTTCTTCTTTAAGCGGCACTCTTACCATTTCAACCTGAGAGAAGTAAGAGACGTTGTGGTCAGATGGTGAGTGGGCAAAGAGAGGGGCCCCTGGGGGGTGGGGGGAGCCGGTGGAGAAAGGCAGGGGAGGCGGCCATCACCTCTTTCAGCAGCTTGTGCTTTAGGTCATTAACGTTGACAAAAGTGATGGAGTTACAGCACTGGAAGATTTTCACCCCAGGAATGTTTGTGACCTGCAAGACAAATGTCAAATGGAGGGCGATTTCTCAGCTCTTTTATGGAGGAAGAAAAAAAAAAGTCTCTAGAACCCCCTGGAGAATCTGTATTCTTCTTTATGGGAGGTCAGAATTAGCAAGTTCTTTCCGCCCATTTTCACCCCTGCTCTTCCTGCTTTCTTCTTCCCCCTCCCTTTGTTCCTTTCTTTTTCTTGGCCTCCCTCTCACTAGAGGACGTGACCCTTAGCTGGCTACTGTACTCTGAAAACCTGCTTATGTCACCTGCCTCTGCCTTTTTGCCTCCCTCTCCCCGCCTTGGGAGATGCGTATCTCTAGAGCAGCCAACAACAGCAAAGGGATTTTGTAGAAAAACTAAGCAGCAGGCCTGGTCTAGCCCATCCTTCAGGCAAAGGAGTGGGATTGATTTGGAGTCTTACCTCCCGATAGTCATTGAAGTTTCTATATATGTTGGTGTTAGGGATCTGACCCAGGAGGAGGATTTTAGTTCTGAAAGGAAATGTATTTGCTTTTAGGTCATAGTTGCCTTACCTCACCATGGCCAACCTCCTGGTACCTGAGACAAAGTACCTGTGTGACCGAACAGTGATGATGAAGAAGGCAAAAGATACTGAAACAAGTAGCCCAACATCCAGTCCCAGGAAAATGGCAGATGTGAATGTCACCAACCAAATAACCTTATGGAAGAGCAGAAGAAGGGAAAAGGAAGACCATGACAATAAGCAGAATGGAGAAAACCACCAGCTCTATCTCTCAAGCCCCCTTCTGCCACCTCCTCCTGACACCTAGAACTTAGAGCACAAATTTCACAGCCTTATGGACTGACACCATTACAAAGATTGTGTTCCAAGGCTGTCTAACGATTCTTGTAGGCATCCTTGGTCATTTCTCTCTTCAATTCTCTCTTGAAACCTCATGTGAAAAATAGGGATAACAATATCAACTTTATAGGCTCTGTTGAGATTAGAAATCCTGGTCCCAAAGCAACCCAGAATACTCACCAAATGAACAGTAGTTGCTATTTTAAGACCTATCATGGTTATGGTGAGCCTTTAAAAACATGTCAAGCTCTTACCCTAACACCTTCTCCATCACTCTCAGCAGGCAACTGACTCATCTTCACAGAGTGGATAGGCTCAAACTCCCTTAAATATTTCCTTGCCACTTGTTAGAATCCATGCTTAACTTTCCCTCACTCTCTTCACTCCTGTTGGAAGTTCTATCCCTCCTCCAAGGACAAGAAGTGGTATATGTGTGCTGGACCACATCCTCTCTTAGATCCTCTGAGACCTGGATCCCAAAACTATCCCCTTTCATATCTCTTTGCCTCTATTGGGTCTTTCTCCTCTCATGATATTACATTCGCCATCTTTATTTTTTGCTGTTTCCCCTTTATGTCCCCAGTGGTGTGCTCTAGAAGGAGGGAAGGTGCTCCAACGTTTAGTCTGCCTGGCAAGACACTGCCTTCTCTTAGTAAGGTTTGTGCCTTCTATCCTGGAATGTGTTCACACTAACCGGATTAAAAATCATTCAACTGTGTCATGGATGACAAATCCTTTTTACTAGATTCGCATCTAACTCTAGCCACTTAATTTCTTTTTATTAATTTTGTGTCATTTTGGAATAAAGTCTCAGTATTTCCATGCACCAATAACCTTGACTCCCCCCCTTTTTTTAAGCTAGAGTATTAGTTATCAAAGAATTGCTAGTGTCCTTCACCTTGATCTCTTTTGTTTGTTCTTGTTCCCTCTTTCCAACCTACCCCTCTGTCCTTCCCTATCTCAGCCAGTGTATCTATACTCACACAGTCATATTGATTCTGCCTCCATAGACTGGGTAGGTTGTAAATGGTTTCAAGGTAGGGTAGGATGTTGCTCAGAATAATACCAGCCAGGATAGCCTACAGGGAAAAGGGAAACCCTGCTTCATTTTCCTTTCAGAGGTAGAATTCCCAGTTCTTCACAAAAGAACCACAAAAAAGTCAACCATGCCGCTCAGAAATGTTAAAAATCCTCAGGGCTTCAAGGCAGAATCTAACGTACTTTAAGAAATATATTCTTGTTTTCATGCAGTCCCTGCACTAACTTATCATTTCTTAGCCATTTCCTAGCCATCTCCTCTATATGCTCTGCTTGGGAATTAGAACTGATCCTATCACCAGGAATGGCTGGGTCTAAGCTCGCTCTGGTTTTCTGAGATTACTCAGTGACCAGTGGACTCAATAAGTCAGCAGAGGAGGGACAGGCAAAAATAAAGTCAGCAGAAATCACTTCTTTTCCATCTTCATCTTCTTTCCAGTCAAGAATCTCTAAATGTGGGGCACCTGGGTGACTCAGTAGGTTAAAGCCTCTGCCTTTGGCTCAGGTCATGATCCCAGGCTCCTGGGATCAAGCCCCACATCAGGCTCTCTGCTCGACAGGGAGCCTGCTTCCCCATCTCTCTCTGCCTGCTTCTCTGCCTACTTGTGATCTCTGTCTGTCAAATAAATAAATAAATAAATAATTTATTTAAATAAATGAAAAGATGTTTAATTTTTTAAAATTAAAAAAATATTTTTTTCCCTCTTTTTAAAAATTTTTTAATTTTTTATAAACATATAATATATTTTTATCCCAAGGGGTACAGGTCTGTGACTCGCCAGGTTTACACACTTCACAGCACTCACCATAGCTCATACCCTCCCCAATGTCCATAACCCCCCCCCCCCCCCCCCCCCCACCCCCCCACCCCCGTTCCCAACCCCCCCTCCCCCCATCAACCCTCAGTTTGTTTTGTGAGATTAAGAGTCACTTTTGGTTTGTCTCCCTCCCAATCTGAAATAAGTCAATCGGAGAAAAAATCTTTTAAAAAAGATTTTAAAAAAATATTTAAAAAAATGTTGCCTTTCTGAATATTAAGGTAAAACATGCTCATGTATAAAAAAAAAGAAATAGACTTACATATAGTTTCCATCATCCAAGAGATAACCATGGTTAACATTTTGGTATGTGCTATATATTTTTTCACATAAAATTGGAATATTGAAGATACTATTGTGTATCATATTTTTAAAAATATTGTGTCAGTCAGTCCCCTTGCTAACTGGTTGAGATCCTAGCCAGAATGCTCCACCAACTACTCCAATAAGAATTTTTTAATAAGCTATCCATAATCTATCCCCAAGGAAGGGCTCATTCATAGTTTAATGCTCATAGAGCCCCATTATTACAGCGGTTTAGATATTCTACTGATCAGTTGGTGTTCACATCTTCTCAACCAGAAACATCCTAACCAGATGCTATAAAAATAATGTGAGCCAAAAGCAAGGCATGTTCTGTTTCTAATGTATGTATAATAAAGGAGGGCCCTTGGTGAATTCTGACAGATTTTTATTTGTTTGCAGTTTTAAAGAATTCTGATTCTCCTAGCTATACAGAAAAAAAGAGAGAGAGAGAGGGAAGAAAATCCCTATTCAAAGTGCATTAGTGAGCGGCTTTCCTAAAATAGACTCTAAGAGTTAATGCACCTTGCTATAGAAGCTACATTCTGGAGATGACTTCTGCTGGGAATCAGAGGACAGCTTGTGTGATAAATACAAGCTTAATCCCACCTTCCATACATATAGATTCTGGGGCTGAGTTCCAAGATCTCTGAATCACAAGAGCAGAAGGCAGCAGGAGCCTTGAGGTAGTCCTGCTCTCCTGAAATCTGATATTTACCAGGTGGGATGGAGGTGTTCAAAAGCATGAGGATAATATTTGCAACCACTCCAGCTTGTAAGCAAGCTGCTCCCCCCAGTCATGAAATTTCTTCCCACCTCCCTTAATACTATCTAAACATGGCGAAAGGCAACGTTAAGGAAATTTACAAGGAAATTGTGGTCACTGAGCACTGATCTGTATTGCAACTGAAAACAAATTAATGACAGCCAATCATTAATGCCCCTGGCATTTCTAAATGCAGGGTGATCAGTCTCTCACAAAGGGAAGAAATGGCAAGTATATAGAGGCATCCCAGCTGAACAGGGTTAAAACCCAACTTTCAGAACCTGCTGTCTAGTGTAAACTCATCACAAGGCAGAACGGCAGTAATAAGGGGATTGAGTTCATATGAATGCAGAACAAGGCCTTCTGGAAATGGCTTAGGAAAACAGATGGCATGAATACACAATGAGTTTCCAAGCCTGAGTCGGTGAGGGGCGTTCTGGCATCTGAAGTCTATTTTGGTCATCTTTAACTAAATCCTTACTTATAAAACTTACTTTATAGCTTAAGCAAGAAAAAGAAGATTAATGAGAATGAGAAGAGTGACAATAATACCTAATACCTCTTGTGCACTTACGATTAGCTCAACACTGTTCTCTCTATATTACAAACATTACTTGATTTAACTCCCAATCTTGTGAGGTGGATGCTATTATTTTAAAGGGAAGGGATGTGAGCTAGGACAGGGCCACCCCTGGGGACAAGGTGAATGCCCCGCCAAGACACAATCTGGAGATCTGATATTTCCCCCACTTGGTTATTTATCAGTTCTACTTACATTTGGCATTTCATGGAAAAAGTGTCCCACCTTCACCATCAGGAGCAGCATCACACCTGCGCCTACCAGAGATGCAAACTGAGGAGACAGAGCCAGTTGGAGAGAGACCGTTAGGAATGTATTGGTCCCTGTCTGCAACTGAGGCCTTCTGCTTGGTGAGAAGCGTGTCATTTTTTTCTTAAAAGGAGTTGAGTGTAACCATCCAGCCCAAGTGCATTTTTTGTTGAGCTGACATTTTCAGGTCTTGTCAAAGTGCTAAGCATACACTAGGTACTCAAGAAATACTTGTCAAATGAATGCATGAATGCTTTCTGAAAAGTGCTAAATTGTCTTGGCTATTTGAATCTTTATTGCCCTAGCTTTGCACTGTGAAATCTGGAGTCTTCTAAGGTCGGGTTTTCATTCCCTCCCAAATTTAACTCCTCCTGGAACATTCTAGAAAAGCCCTAGTAGACCCATTACTGTCCACCCTAAAATCCCAACCCCTCCATTTCCCATATCAGTAAATACCTCCCTCCTCACTCTCCTGCTTGGAGCTTGGATAACTTCCCATCAAACAGCGTTAGAAATGCTCCATCTTAAAAAATGCAATGATAATCATTTCTGATGTTCCTCAGTTTTTCTCTGCTTCATTACCATAAAAAAAAGTTACAAATGTGAGTCAGGGCTGCAGAGAGCAGCTCTGGGTCCTATGGTAGCTGCGTGACTCTGGGCTCAGTGTTGCTTGGTAAGCAGGGGCTCTGATTGGCAACTACAGATAGCAAACTGAGCCACATAGTTCACTTTAGAGTCTCATGGCTCTCTGGACAGAGTCTTGGACTCAATATGTCCTCCATGGCTAAATCTCCATCGTTTAAGCCTCTAATAACAAAAATGGATACAAAGCAGTATAATCTCCCACTGTGTTGGGGGATCTGTGTGGGGGAAGATAAAACAAACCACTGATCAGAACTATGGCCCAAACAAGCAAGATCTGAGGGTGTCCCTCAAAGCTAACCCATTAAGTGACAGATCAGCAATGATGCTTGAATTTTTCTCTTTGTTTCTCAGGAGTGGAAAGAAAGAAAGAAAGAAAAACCTTCTTACTGGATTCCCTCTCTCTGCTCACTGCTATTTGCTTATAAATGCATCACTAAAAGTAAAAGCAAGGAAATCAATTTCCTGCTTCCTTCTTTCCACAATGGTAGGGTTGAAAGGAGATTGAGGAAAACGGACCACTACAACTGAAACTCAGGGAGTTCTATGGACACACATTTTATACCCTGTGGAACTGAAACAGGTAACTGAGAACATGAGCTTCTGCAACCAATGTACACATCAGCTTGTTGCCAGATCTAGTGTAATAAGGGTCTTGCATTGGGTGGTCTTCGTTGGCACTGTAGAAAAACTACTTTGATCAGCACAGGAAAGTACATCAGCACTTTTCCTTCCTACCACTTCTTTTTTCTTGCTGTTTGGTTTGTTTTTGTTTTTGTTTGCCTTGGTGTTTTGTTTTTTTGGCATTCCTGGATAGGCTTGACCTACCTCCCACTTCTTTTCTCCAAGTTCTTCTGATTAAAGGAAACAAAGATAGGCAGATGCTAAAAAAAAAAAAAGCTGCATAAAACCTAGATTTAAATGAGTACAAATCCGACACTGAATCCCACAAAATTTGCTGCTGAGAGAGGGGTGGGAGGCCTGCCAATAATTGTGTTTCCCTGGGCTGCACACGCAAAGGAGCAGACTTTGGGATCAGAGGGCCATCCTTGGTGGCATCGTGCCTTAGGAGGATGCTTGATGGCTCTCTGAATCTCAGACTCAGTGTCTGAACAGGGTCTAAAGACAGCAAGCATGTAGAACTTTACATCTCGTGCATATTTTGCTATTCTGCTCCCATTTTCCATCTCTTTCCCAGGTTTTCTTGAACAAAAACGGACTCTGCTGACTCTGCCTTCTCTTTGGGAATTCAAGGCACTGTGAGTTCCCACAAGCCACAGCCACTATCAACATGCAGACCCTCAGACACCAGACACCAACTACTCTATACACAGTGGGTTCCATGAAGTCGACGAGCACATTGCCAAGTACTGGCCCAGGCCCTGGGAACGTGGGGTAGAAGCTACAATTTTTGAACCTCCTAAGTGACAGGGGCTATGATAAGCACTATTACCATCTAATTTAATTTAACTGAAAAGTTATCTCTAGCCCAATTTTACAGATGAGGACTGCAGCCTCAAAAAGCAAAAGTAACTTGCCCAAGGTCACCCATGTAGGAACCACTGAGTTAGGTTCCAATCTATCTGACCGGCTGATTCCAAGATCTAGGCTCCCTCCAACTGGCCCATTTGCTTCCTGTAAGAAGAATACAGCACGTTTCTTTCTTTTATATCTCTTTCTTTAATAATAATAATTTTTTTAAAGCAGTTCTGAGAGCCTTGGGACATGGCTAGAAGACCAGTCCTTGGAAAGCAGGGAACAAGAAAAGGAGCTCAATCACGGAGATCATGGAAATCCAGTGGTTAGAATGTTAGAATGAGGGGAGCCGGACGATGGATTGGGGGACAGTCCAACTGACCACAGGTCTGGGGCTCTTCATATTCCCTCTGCCCTGGCCGGCCAACACTGAAATCCAAGCCTTGGCTGGAAGAGCCAATATGTTTTGCTGTAACCAGGGAAGATAAGTGGGTTCTAGACAAGGGAAATTAAAGTGAAAATTAGATTAAAAAAAAAAAAAGTGGCCTTTGGTGGCAGGTCAGGTCTGAGAGGTACAGAGCCTGCCCCCTAGCTTCTCCTCCCAGAGTTCTGAGGAACTTGGAAGAAATGAAGGTGTTCCCAGGCAAAGTGACTCAAAAATCCCCAGAGAGGAGGGATAGAGAGAACACTCCACTGCTGTGGGATGAAGAGGGCTGAATGAATCTCAGAAGCCTTTGCTCGTCCAGATCAGAAACTCAGAGTGGAGGCTGGGGACCCCTAGTGCCTCCAGAGCCAGGGGCCAACTAACATTCTCTGGTCAAACCAGCGATTTGCTGGGCAAATTAGGGTCTCAGGGAAGAGTTGACCAGCATCCCCAGAGAATGCCCATCTGTGAAGCATTACTATGCCACAGGAAGAGTCATTGGTAGGGACAGGAGAACAATGCAGCAGCAGCAGCAGCAGAAAATAGATGAGAGCCCCAGCCTGCCTCTGAATTGGGTACTTTTTCCAACAGGCTAAATGCAACTCAAGCTGAACTGAAGCCTTTCTTTCCTCCTAGCTATACATATCCTAACCTACCTTCCTTTCTTTTTCTTTCTCTCTCTCTCTTCCTTCCTTCCTTCCTTTCTTTTTTAAGATTTTATTTATTTATTTGAGAGAGAGAGAGAGAGAGAGACCAAGTAGGGGAAGGGACAAAAGGAGAGGGAGAGAATCTCAAGCCGACTCCTCACTGAGCATGGAGCCCAACAGGGGGCTCAATCCCAGGACCCCGGGATCATGACCAGAGCTGAAGACAGCTTCTTAACTGACTGAGCCGCCCAGGCACCCCAGTCCTAACCTTCTTTCAATAATCTACAGAAGTCCACTTCTTCCATCCATCTCTTTCTTGTATTTATAGATTTATGGCACTTTTAATTTTATTTTATTCTTTTTTTTATTCTTTTTTATTATGTTATGTTAGTCACCATACAGTGCACTATTAGTTTTTGATGAGTGTTCCATGATTCACTGTTTGTGTATAACACCCAGGGCTCCATGCAATACGTGCTCTCCTTAATACACATCACTGGGCTCATCCATCCTCCCCCCAAAACCCTCAGTTTGTTTCTCGGATTTCTCCGATTTCCCCCCCTTCACTTTTCCCTTCCTTCTCCTAATGTCCTCCATTCTATTCCTTATGTTCCACAAGTAAGTGAAACCATATGATAATTGACTTTCTCTGCTTGACTTATTTCACTCAACATATTTATATGACTTATTCCGCACTTAATGTTACTTGCCCTGCGATTTAGTTTTTCCAACTATGTGCGTTGTTTCTCCCCACATGTATCTTACACTTACCTACTGAATATACAAGGCATGTTGTTAAAAGTTAGTGGAGACTAATGTCTGGGATGGTCTTTTCCTCTTCTTATCATGAAATCCCCTCCTTTGATTTGAATGTTTGTACACATGTGCAGAGAACATCCTTCTTTTTTACAGAGCCCACCTTCCTTCTTTCTGCCCAACAGTGGTGGAAAAGAGCTACACCTTACAGGCCAGAGTGTCTGACAGAACGTGAAGTGACATGACATGGTCTTACTCTAGACTCAAGCTCTCGACCCTGCTAACTTTTATTGGCTTTGACCTTATATTTCACCTATATCTACCCAGGGACGGGGACACTTTATCTTCCCCCATTAAAGTGTAGTGTCCATTCTCTGACACTTAAGTTTCTACCACGTGTCTGAGACCTAAGCTCATTGTTGACCTCTGTCACTGTTTCTCTGCCCTCTGAACACTGACCCATTCTCTGGGCTTACTCCAGTTTCGATTCTGATAGTTCTCTGACATTTCATCATGCTGCAGAGCTGAGCTGGGACACCTCCCATGCAGTAGAGCTAGAATTTCTATCTAGTCAGTTCAGAACCTATGGACATTGGACTTACAAAATCTCATGCCTTCAGTTAGACAAAGAGCTGGCCTTTAAAGTCTTCTCTACCATCATCCTCCCCTTTGTTCTCCCCTCTGACCCACACATTTAGTTTACTAATTCAGCATACCTGAAGAGAATCTGACCCAGATGATTTGCTTATATTCCAAGGCAGACCGGTCATAAATTCTCTAGGCTCATCTAGACAAAGACCTTATTCTCTATCATAAAAGCCTCTTGCCATGCGCCTTGGGGAAACTAGGAAAGTTTCTAGTTCTGCAGCTAGTATGGGGAGAGGTGTATTATTTGCTTTTCCAGATGAGGACTGGGCATATATCTTTCCATGGAAAACAATGTTAAGAAGTGATGGTTAGTTTACCTGAAATATTATTCTTTGGGGGATGTTACATGAAAAATGGGTCTTTATGGGCTAATACATAGAAACCTCTCATATAGAATAATATTTCTACAGAAAATGACTTATAAGTTCTACATTGGCAATAATTTTTAAGACAAAAGTCCAAGCAAAAATTTAGGCAAGCATGAAATCCAAGTTGCTCCAAGAGACCTTCTCTAACAAACATAACATTAAAGCAGTGGTATGGGGCACCTGCTTGGCTCAGTTGGTTAAGTGTCTGCCTTTGGCTCAGGTCTTGATCTCGAGGTCCTGGGATTGAGCACCCCCTCCTTGATCTTCCTGCTCAGTAGGGAGTCCACTTCTCCCTCTCTCTCTGCCCCTCCACCCTGCTCATGTTCTCTCTCTCTAACAAATAAATAAAATCTTAAAATAAAGCAGCAACAAAATTAAATGAATAAAATACTCCTCTATGAATATACATATGAGTAGTATAAATATGTTTCATATTAAAGACAAAATTCTATTCCAACATACCTGCTGTCTTCCTCCAGTCTTATCTTGGATAATCGTCCTGATAATAGCACCAGTAAACACACAAGATCTAAAAAATGAGCTGATGACATTGCAAAGGCCAATGGCTATTAAATCCTGTAAAGAAATGGCAAACACATTTGGCCCACTGTTTGTGGAAGAAGGCAGGATTGAGTTTGAACTCAAGGTATACTGTCTATTTCTTAGGTTTGACAATAAGATTGTTTCCATTATTTTAGACAACACTGAAATATTCTTAGAAAAAACAAAAGGATGGAAAATCTGATTCCTGGACTAACTCGAATCTTCATTTTAGCTAGCCATCATAAGAAAAGCACTTTTTCAAAGTGAGAAATGAATTTTTTGTCTTATTATTCCCTTTCACATGATTACTGGGACATAGAATGGCAGAGGGAAACATAGTACTATTTTTCCTCCCTCCCTTTTATACTACCTCAAAATCAAAGTGGGATACCTCTTGCTTTCACATCTCTCTTTGGAGTTCTAGGAAAAGAGCCAAACTTAGAATAGTGGGGAAATTAAACAAACAAACAAAGAAGGACTGTTTCTGGGAGAGTAGTGTAATTATGTTAGTAGCCTGGTTTTGATATTCCCTAGCATTTCTTATTGTGCCTTAGTATGTGCTTGACTCCTCAGGACTTTGGAAAGAAAGACAAAATTAAGAGAGGAATTCTGCTAGCTTAACAACACGATGCCATATGTTATCTTCTTGCCTCCCTACACCATAGCTGTTCTGGGGGAATAACATTCGTGTTAATTTAAGTGACTTCAAAGTTAAGTATGCCACACTCCTCAAAAATCCTTGGGTAATTATAATTCAAATTACAGTCTCACTGACTCTCTGGTTACAAAGAATGCAGCCTTCACATTAGCAGGAGACTCAGATTGGAGAACAAAGACATAAGGTCAGAGGATATAAGAGAAAGGCCTGTCATCTCACCTGGTTGGAATTCACGTAGTAGTTATGGTAACTGGCAATCTTCTTGCCCAGAAATATGAGCAGAGAGGAGCTCACTAAAGCTAAGGAGAAGGCTTCTAAAATAAGTTCAGGAAGAATCTTCAAATCTGGTGTCACAGGAAACATGAAGCTGGAATAAAATGGTGGAATCATACCTAGATAGCAGGAACAACTTATTGGTCCCTCCCCCACTCCAGACTTATCATGTGGGGCAACTGGAATGACCCTTAAAAAAAAAAAATAACAATAAGAGATAAGAAGAACAACTGAGGCAGCAGCCTACCAAAACCCACAAGCAAACACAGCCAGGTTATAAAAGCCGTTGTGAGAACATGCTCTGCTATCTTCCAGGTCAACGTTTTTGCCACATAGCAACAGCAACAAACAGGACAGGGAAGCAACAAAGATTGATGGAAAATGGCTCATCCACGCTGTTGGGAGACCATACCAGTGGATAAACAACAGGCAGATACCACGTCTATGATGGGTTACAGCTAAAAAGCTCAATGAATTCTATTCTACTCATCCTCAAATCTTTCAGGGTATAACTTAAATCACTGTCCTTTGTACCAATTACTTCCAATTCTAACCACACCTTCCATTCTACAGTTTTTCCCCCCAATTTTTTTGACTTGGTAAATATGCATAACATGAAATCTACCATCTTACCCATGTTCAAGTGTACCAATGGCGGTAAATATATTCATAACGTGCGACCATCTCCATCATCCACATCTGACACTCACCTTGTAAAACTGAAACTGTATTAATCCCGTTAACCAATAACTCTCCATTTCCCCCCTCCCTCCCTCAGCCCTGGTAACCACCTTTCTCCTTTCTGTCTTGATGATTTGGACTATTCTCAGCACCCCATAAAAGTGGAGTCATACAGTGTTTGTCTTTTTGTGACTGGCTTAGTCCACTCAACATAGTGACCTCGAAGTCCTGCTGAAGGCAGATGCTTAACCGACTGAGCCACCCAGGTGCCCCCAAACTAGTAATTCTTTTAAATGTATTGGTCTCTTAAATATATGTAAAAAATAAAGAGTGGAATTACAAACCATTGTTAAAAACATTAGTTTTTATAATTTCCCAATATTTACCTTTATTAAGATCCTTATTTCTTTATACAGCTTTAAGCTACTGTCTAGTGTCCTTTCATTTCACCCTGCAAAACTCCCTTGAGCATATCTTGCATAGCAGTTCAAGTGGTAATAAACTCCTTCAGCTTTTGTCTATCTGAGAATGCTTTAATTTCTCCTTCACTTTTGAGGGAAAATTTTGCAGGATATAGGATTCTTGGTTGACAGTTTTCTTTTTCTTTTAGCACTTTGAATATGTTGGCCCACTGCATTCTCACCTCCAAAGTTTCTGATGAAAAATCTTTTCATTACTTTATTGATAAGCCCTTGTGTATGTATGAGTCACTTCTCTTTTTGCTTTCAAGATTCTCTGTCTTTTTTTTTTTTTAAAGATTTTATTTGTTTGACAGACAGAGATCACAAGTATGCAGAGAGGCAGGCAGAGAGGTGGGGGGAAGCAGGCTCCCCACTGAGCAGAGAGTCTGATGTGGGGCTCGATTCCAGGACCCTGAGATCATGACCTGAGCCAAAGGCAGAGGCTTAACCCACTGAGCCACCCAGGCGCCTCTCTCTTTGTCTTTTGAAGTTCGATTTTGAATCTAGATACAGGTGTCTTGGAGTTTCTCTAACTAGGAATTTGTTAGATTTAGGCATTTACATTCATGTCTTCCATCAAATTTGGGAAGTTTTCAGCCATTTTTTTTCTTCAAATATTGTTCCCCATCTCTTTCTTTCTCTCATCTCCTTCTGAGACTCCCATGAAATGTATGTTGTTCTACTTGATGGTGTCCCATAGGTCCTTACAGCTCTGTTCATTTTTCTCTGATCTTTTTTCCTTCTGTTCCTCAGACTCAATAATTTCCATTATCTTCAAGTTCACCAAGTCCTTCTTCTGACTGCTCAAATCTGTTTTTGAATCCCTCTAGTGAATTTTCCTGTTATTGTACTTCTTAGCCCTGTAACTTCTTTTTGGTTTCTTTTTAAGTTTTCTGTGTCTTTATTGATATTTCCATTTTGTTCATACATTGTTTTCATGACTTTCTCCACATTTTCCTTTAGTTCTTTAAGTATTTTTAAGACAAGTGTTTAAAGTCTTATGCTCATTGATCTGCCATCAGGCCTTTTTCAGGACAACTGTTGTTCTTGTTTCTTTTTTCTTTTGAATGAACCATACTTCCTTTATCTGCCTTCAGATTTTTGTGGAATATTGTGTATTTGAATCTAATAATGTGATAACCTGGAAATCAGATTCTCCTCATTCCCAGAGTTTGCTGTTTTTTGTAATTGTTCTGTTGTTGTTATTGTTGTAGGCTGTTTTTATGCTGAGGATAAGCTTGATGTATAAACTTAAGGTTTTCTCAGGGTTTTTCTGAGCCTGTACCTTTCTCTGGGCATGGGTAGTTATGTTCTAATTTTTCTTATATATACAGTTTTTTAAAAATCTCCTAATCTTTAATGTATGACTTCCAAAAGGGGAAAAAAGAGAAAAATGAAGAAAAAAAGGGGCACTACCCCTTTAAATCCCTTGGAAGTCACTTTTACCAGAGGGGGAGGGACTTGCAACAAATGGGAGCTGAGGTGCAACAACAATGGCTGTTCACCTTTTTGTTTGCACCTCTGTGGTCAGCAGTAGCAATCAGCAATTGGAGGAAAGATCCTCAATATTTGGAGGACAGGGTCTTCTTTGCCCATGCTTCCTCCCTCAAGTTGTGTGCAAGTTGCTTCAGGTATTCCACTGCCTGCCATAAGGCTAGATGTGGGGGATGGTAGCTGTCACTGTGCTAAGAGCTGAAATTTCCTGAAATTAATTGCAATTTACCACCCATGCCTTCCCCTAGAGGTTACAAGGCTTCAATAGGCTATAGAGTTCCAAAATAGTCAGACAGATTCTGCTAGTGCAATTTTTTCAAGGCGGGGAGAGAGATTCCTGGTGCTTTTTATTCTAACATCTCCCCAAATCCTCTTTCAACTCCTGTTGATTTGAGGTCACCAGATTGTTGAGACTTGTCCATCTTGCTGGTAGTCACTGTCATCTAATTCTATTAAGTCAATATATATATAATTTCTTCTAAGATCACATCATATAAAACATTGCCAGTCTCATATTACCACGAGTAGAACTTCTTCCCAGGTATATCTCCCACCATATTGTTAACCAGGAAAATCTCCTTAAGACAATAAACTTTCTTCTTTGTCAGTATTACTGTCAGATTGCTGATCAGAGAATTAAAGATTATCTTGCTTCTTATAGGAATGGATGCTTGTCTGTTTGTGAATGGGTTTAGGAATTTCACTCTGTTACCCAGAGTATCTAAGACAGGTTCTGTGTGGTCAATTTTAGGCTGACTTCTTAGGACTCAGAGACTGATTTTGGTTCCCTTCATGGGCATGCATCATTGAGTAACACTCATAAATATTTGGTAATTTATTTATTTTTTTTTAAAGATTTTATTTATTTATTTGACAGAGAGAGACCACAAGCAGACGGAGAGGCAGGCAGAGAGAGAGAGAGAGAGGGAAGCAGGCTCCCCGCTGAGCAGAGAGCCCGATGCGGGACTCGATCCCAGGACCCTGAGATCATGACCCGAGCCGAAGGCAGCGGCTTAACCCACTGAGCCACCCAGGTGCCCAGGTAATTTATTTTTAATGTGGAGAATTTCCCAATATTTGCAAAAGAAGAAAGGATGGTATAGTGAGCTCTTGTGTACCCATCACTCACTTTGAACATTTAACAATTTATAATCAGTCTTATTTCATTTGTACTCCTACCCACTGCCTATTCCAAGATTATTTTGAAGCAAATACCAGGCATTCTATAGTTTTAAAATTTGAAAGATATACACAGGAAGATTAATACCAACTTATCAATATAATCAAATATACAATTAATGTTCAAACTTTCCCAAATGCCTTATAAATATATATTTAACAGTTTGTTTCAATTAGAACCCAAATAAGATCCATATGTTACAATTGGTTGTTATGTCTCTTAAATCTCTTTTAAGCTATAGGTTCTTGCTCCATATTTTTGTTTTTCCTCCCTGCAACAAAAGCTGTTGTTGTTGTTGTTAAAGAAACCTGAACACTGGTCCTTTTCCCAAAAGATTTTGCTAATTGCATCTCTGAATTATCATTTAACATATTCCTCTTTTGTATTTCTTATAAACTGGTAGTTAGCCTTTCGGGTTTGGTCAGATATGGGCTAGTTTTTGGGGGCAAAAATATTTCATAGGTGGTAGTGTGTAATTCTGTCAGGAGGCATAAGATGTCTTTTTTAAAAAACTATAATCAGAGGGGTGCCTGGGTGGCTCAGTGGGTTAAAGCCTCTGTTTTCGGCCCAGGTCATGGTCCCAGGGTCCTGGGATCGAGCCTCGCATCCGGTTCTCTGCTCAGCAAGGAGCCTGCTTCCCTCTCTCTCTGCCTGTCTCTCTGCCTACTTGTGATCTCTGTCTGTCAAATAAATAAATAAAATTTACAAAAAACTATAATTAGAAGCACCTGGTTGGCTGAGGGTCAAGCCTCTGCCTTCTGCTCAGGTTATAATCTCGGGGTCCTGGAATTGAGCCCTGCCCTCTGTGGGAAGTCTGCTTGGAGTTCTTTCCCTCTGTCCCTCCACCTGCTTGTGCTTGTGTTTTCTCTCTAGAATATATAAACAAATCTTTAAAATAAAGATTGTTCTATTTCTGTGCGAAATACCATTGGAACTTTGATAGAATTGCATTGAATTTGTAGATTGCTTTGGATAGTATGAACATTTTAACAATATTAGTTCTTCCAATCCATGAGGATGGAATATTTTTCCATTTATTTGTGTCTTCTTCAATTTCTTTCATCAATGTCTTATAGTTTTCAGTATACATGTCTTCCACCTCCTTCATTAAATTTATTCTTATGTATTTTATTCTTTTTCATGCAATTATAAATGGGATTGTTTTCTTAATTTCTTTTTCTGATAGCTCGTTATTGTGTCTTTTTGTGATGTTAACAGATGTTACACTAGTATACTTTAATGGTGATATCCTAATTCTATAATTCCTTCTCCCCTAAATGGCTGTAATACTTGTATAAAGTGAAGTATCTGAATATCAATGATTTGGATCTCCCAAAGAGCAGTTCTTATAGGAAGAGCATGATAAATGCTTACTTTGTTCTTTTTATTTAACAATTTACAAAATAACAAAAGTTGGTTCTACAGCATTTTGGGATGGTGAAAAAAATGGGTTTGCTCTTAAAAGAAAAAGATTTTATTCATTTATCTGAGAGAGAGAGAGAGAGAGAAAGCAGTGGAGAGGGGCAGAAGGAGAAAGAGAAAAGGAGACCACTCGTTGAACAGGAAGCCCAACATGGGACTTGACTCCAGGAATCAGGACCTGAACTGAAGGCAGACGCCCAAATGACTGAGCTACCCACCTCTTTTAGAATTTTTATATTCACTGATTTAAACATATTTTATATGTTTTGCTGGTAAAAACCTCAAAGTGATATATAGATTCAAGGCAATACCTATCAAAATTTCAATGACTCTTTCGCAGAAATGGAAAAGCTGATTCTAAAAAGAAGAATAAAGGTGGAGGGCTCAGGGTATTCCATTTCAAAACTTACTGTGAAACTGTAGTAATTAAGATTGGTATACAGATCAACAGAAAAGAATTGAGAGTTCAGAAATAAACTCAAACATTCATGGTCAATTGATTTTCACCAAGAGTGCCAAGACCACTAAATTGGGAAAGAACAGTCTCATCACCAAATAGTATGCAGACAATTGGATATTCACATGCAAAAGAATGAAGTCAGAGCCCTATCTTACAACATATACAACAATGAACTTGAAATGGATTAAAGGCCTAAATATAGACCTGAAACTATAAGATTCTTAGAAGAAAACATATAGGTAAATCTTCATGACCTTGGATCACATTACATGACTTTGTAATACCAAAAGCTCAAACAACAAAGGAAAAAATGAATTGGACTTCATCAAAATTAAAAATCTTTGTGCTTTCAAGGATCTGCTGAGGAAGTGAAATGACAGCCCACAGTAAAGGAGAAAATTCTTACAAACTGTATATCTGAGAAGGGTCAAGTATCCCAAATTCCTACAACTCAACAACAAAAAGACAAATAACCCAATTAAAAATAGTCTAAGGGCTCGAATAGATATTTCTTTAAAAAGATATACAAATGACCAGTAGGCACATGAAAAAATGCTCAACATCATTAGCCCTTAGAGAAATGCAGATCAAAGTCAGAATGATGTACCAACTCATACTTACTAAAAGGATAATAACAATAATAATAATAATAAAAAACAGCAAATGTTGGTGAGCATAGGAAGAAATTGGAACTTTGTGCATTACTGGTGGGAAAGTAAAATGGTGCTGCTGCTGTAGAAAATAGTTTGGCAGCTCCTTAACAAGTTCAACATAGAATTACCATATGACCCAACAAAAATCTACTCTTACATATAACTCAAAAGGAATGAAAACAGGTGCTCAAAAGAAAAACCTGCAGATCAATATAGCCCTATTTATAATAACCAAAAGTTGGAAAGAAATGAAATGTCTATCAACTGATGAACAGATTAACAAAAGGTGGTATATCCATATAATGGAATATTATTCAGCCATAAATAGGAATTATCCATGGTACAATACGGATGAATCTTGAAAATATTATGCTGAGTGAAAGAAGCTAGAGTCAAAACACCACACATTTTATGATTCCATTGCAGAATAAGCAAATTCCTAGAAGTAGAAATTAGATTAAGGGGTACCTGGCTGGCTCAGTCAGTAGAACATGTAACTCTTGATCTTGGGGTTGTGAGTTCAAGTCCCATGTGCGGTGTGGAGTTTACGTAAATTAAAAAATTAAAATAAAAATAAAAGAAATTAGCCCAGGGCTGTGGAGGGGAACAAATGGGACAGGGCTTCTTTTTGGGGGGTGATAAAATATTTTAAAATTAGATAGCAATGATGGTTGTACAACTTTGAGAATATACTAAAATCAACGAAAGTGTATAGTTTAAAATGGTGAATTTTATGGTATGTGAATTATACATTAGTAAAGCTGTTATTAAAACAAGATAGTAAGAAAATATTATAAATAACTTTTTGTCAATATATTTGACACTTTAAATGGGCAAATTCTTTGAATCACCAAAATTGAGTACTCTCAAGAATTCTGGATAACCTGACGTATAGAGAAAGTTTATGTAACTTAATAGTAATTGTACTTAAATAATAGCCTATTAAAAATTGAATTTGTAGTTAAGAACCTTTCCACAATGAAAACTTCAGGCTTAAATATCTTCACTGATGAATTCTACCATGAAGAAATAATGCCAGTTCTATAGAAACTTTTCCAGAAATTAAAGACAAGAGAAAACATCCAAAGCATTTTATAATGTCTACAATACTCTGATACTAAAGCCAGATACAGATATTACAAGAAAAGAAACTCTCAGGCCAATATACATAAATGCAAAAATTCTTACCATCATTTTAGCAAGTCAATATACAAAAGGTAATCATATATCATTACTAAGTGAGGTTTATCTGAGGATGCAATGTTGGTTTAACATTCAAAAATCAATCATGATATTAACAGACTAAAAAAGGAAAAGAAATTTCATGATTTGAGGGCCAGTATTGTTTTCCCATGGATCCGTAAAATAATCCCTCAAACTGAATTTGGAAGCACACATATGCTTTGGTTTCTATATCTCTAGATTTATTTTCTAAGTAAAAACAAAACAAAACAAAACATTGAAATGTTTCAGATGAAGTTTGCTATTTGAAATGTTAATTCTTTTGATTATTTTTATCCTTTCATCAAGATACAGATACAGGACTCCATAACTGACTTCCAAAATTTTGTGTAAAACCCACATTCAGTAAAATGAACAATGTGTTAAATATCACTTGGGAAAATTATTTTAAAATATATTTTGTGATGTATTTATATTTAATCCCTTATCTAATGAAATGTTATTAGTTTCTGCATTTTCAATTTTATTTTCTTTAGAATAAGAAGCATCCTACTGTACATTATTATGTATAGGAATCTAAATTCCTATTTTTAAATATCTTTTCCTTCACCATCTATGTCTGTTTTAGTTCCCTATTTAAAATATACTTATAACTTACAAGCACCTAGGTCTTTTCTAGGTAATGAGCTAGATAGAAATATAACTGAAGGCTCAAAGCCAGATATTTAACCTTTTGTTAAATTTCCCCTTTTTGTACTTTTAAGAAATTAGAGAAAAACATGGCTATCCCAAGGAGGTATACAGTAAATGGAATATATTGCCCAAATCTCTGTCAGTAAACCTTAAATATTCAGTATGCTAACACAAACTACTCTTTTTCCTTTCTGGTGTTCTCTAACATTTAATTCTTTGTTAGCAGTTTAGGTTACAAGGACACATGGTCACAGAAAAAACTAACTTAAATTGTTCAAATTTTCTAATCTTTAGCAACCTCAGATAAACATATAATAAAAAGGGAAGTTCAAAGCAATACCTAACAAAAAAAGAAAGCAATACCTAAAATTAAATTTTTGAAATGCTTACCTATCTATCTATACCCTCAATCTTGTGATGAAACAAGCAAAAGTTGACCATATGGTTTTTAAGTCATCAATAGAGTGATTCTAATCAGAGATTTTGGAATTAAATAGAAAATGGGCTCAAAAGTAGCTGTGCCCCGACCAACTGTGTGATGGCAGAGAAAAAATTTAAATTGGTAAACCTTAGTTTCTTCAGCCATAAAAAGGAGTATTACTGGGTGGTGAAAATGAAATAAAATAATTATTATCAATCTCATTGTTGTTCTTGTTATTTTTTTGTGAGAGCAAAGACGCAGTCTTATTTACCGTCGCATTCCTTGGCACCTTGGTGGTCTGCTCACATTTTTTTTTTTAACTGAACAGAATTGCAAATGATTTAGTCATCATTGGATTTCATGGAGAACTGATAGGACATGAGACTAATCCAATCCGCTTTCATCAAAAGTAGTCTATGTTGTGTTCTCCTGGAGTTTGCCGGTATCACTGACTCTTTGCAGTATTCCCCACTGAACAGCCTTAGGAAATAAACAACGCTCTTCAAAAGCCTGCCTGTGAATCAAGAAACTGCAGTGTATTGCCTTTCTTAGCTAAAGTGATTCATCTGATGAAGGTTACAGGGAACTAATATTTCCTAATAGGAGCAAGATTGACCCATAGTCACTGGTAGGAATTATAACGTAAATTCATCCCAAGTCCTTAAGAACTCCATAGGGCAGACTATTTGAAGATAGCTTTCTACTCAGAGTAATGAAATAATGCTTCTTAAGGACACTGCGGTCGAAGTGGGTGGAAACAGAGGGACACTCATCTCCTGAGCACTTAGCTCCAGGACAGAGGCCAGGAAAGCAGACGCATCTCTTGGTCCATCCTTAAGAGTTAGTCAGATAGGTATGGACGTTTTGAAGACCCAAGATGTACTGGGGAAAAAACTGTGTGTCTCTCTGGTATCTGGCGCCTCCAACAGTTTACTTGTGTAAAGGGACTGGCTCATCCAGGGGAAGAGAGTAAGAGGCTGACTGGAGAAACAAAGGGTTGTCCTAGTCCGTCTTCCTTCGTGGACCTCTGTATTCTAAAATGCATTGGAGCCCATTACCCATATTTGTCCGTGGTCAGGCTGCTAGTAGAGAATACCAGTCAGGCAGTGTGGTCAGAGGCTAAGCGAAGGTAACAGAAAGGGACAAGTAATCCTGAGAAGTGGAGTTACTGACCTATAAGGAATCATATCAATGAGCGTCCTGCTGGTTTCGGTGGCCATGCTTATCTTGTTGGCAAATGCAGTGAAGCCAAGAATCTGTAGGGGTTAAAATAAAAATGCATATGATCATCTCAAAATTATGAATTGCTTCCAGGAATAGAGGTGCATTTAGTCTTGGCGAGGTGGGGAATGAAATATATGTGGCAGTCCCCATGCATGAAAGTGAGAAAGAGAGGCGGGGCCAGTTCAGCAGACAGAGAAAGGTGGAAATCCTCTCTGACTCTTAGCTCCCTAAGCTCTCTTTATTTATTTATTTGTTTGTTTATTTTCAAGATTTATTTATTCATTTTAGAGAGCAAGGAGAGCATGTGGGGGGAAGGGGCAAAGTGGGGGAGAGACTCTCAAGCAGATTCCCCACTGAGCACAGAACCTGATGTGGGGCGAGGGAGGCTCGATCCCATAAGATCGTGACCTGAGCAGAAACCAAGAGTGGGAAGCTTAACTGACTGAGCCACCCAGATGCCCCCTCCCTTAGCTCTTTTTAGCCTTGTAGACAGAATGAAAAGCAACTTCAGCCTTGGTCTCTGACATGACAATGGGAATAAATGGATGCATTTACCAACTTGGAATATCTGGACCAAATATACACATGTTTTCAGGTAGTCGGTATTTTAAGGCCTCAGTTGTAGAAGTTTTTAGATCTAGAGACACTGTATCAAGATACATACACCTTTGGGGGATTGTTTAGGTATACTGAGAATCATATTACTGACTAACCCTTAAGAATAAATATAGAGCAGCATTTGATAGCACAAAGAAAAAGTCTTCAGCAAGGCAATGACTTGCTTTTTAATCTCCCTTTCATTTACTCCTAAAATAACAAGGCTCCTTTCCATTTCAACTAGGGGCAAAATAGACAACCTAGCAGCTGTTACACCTTATAGAGACCTCACACCAGAGCAAGTTAAGCCAGAGACAAAAGAACTTGATGCCCAGGTCTTAGCATAATAATTATGTAGCTGCTTTACCCCATTTTCCCTACTAACACATAAATCTTTTCCCAGGCTCTGCTGAGAGTTCAGACACTGAGCAGAATAGCAATTGGTTTATCTGTGATGCTGTGATCTGATGAAGACCCCTGGGAACCTTACAGGTCAGAAGGGAAAGAAAAATCTGGATCATAGCTTGACTCAGAAAAAAGTTTTCTTCTTTATATAGTTAAAGGACAAAAAGTGTGAAAACTGGCCAAGGAACTCTTTTTATTTCCAATATAAAGGTAATGCTTGCTCATAAAGGAACACAGGGAAAAATAGGAAAATTAAAAAGCAGAAGTAAATCACCCAAAGACAACTATTTTTGATGCCTGTTTGGTGTGTGTTATACAAATTAAATAAACATAGGCACAAACACACTCATATACATTTATAAGTGTTGAACATATAATATGTATAATTTCTTAGAGCTATAGGATTCCTGAATTATTTGTCAGTATATTCTACCTGGATCCCAGATACTGCCTTGAAACTTTCCCTTTCTATTTGACACTACGTGTTAAGGACAGATTGGTGGGTGTGTGCAGTTTCCTCCAGCATGTCTAAACAGTAAGTGTCTTGGTGGGTGCTGTGAGAAGCTTTTTACACCTCTAGGGCATAGCAACTCTCATCCTCCCTCTCCCATTTGCCTCACTGCCAGGGGAAACATGCAAGTCTTTTCTCAGTTCTAACGACATCTCTAATCCTTGCTACTTGGTGGACAGTGATCCTGATCACTTCACTTGCTTGATATGTGTATAAGTAATTATTGCAGGCTTTGATAACCTTTGAGCATAAATTAGGTCACAAAAAAGTGTACTGCCTAAACTGCAACAATTCTAAGTCTCCACAGACTCTTCTTGCTGATCTGTTTCTTCCCCCACTTCACTCCATGGTGCATCGTAATTATTTATAGCGCTCTCCAAAAGGAATGTCTTAACTGTGGCTCCCAAACCAATCTGTCAGCCATAGTGAACCCAGAATCCTCTATACTCTTCCTTCTTGCCTTTCCTAGAACTCTGGTTAATGTTCATTGCTTTCGAGGTTGCTTGAAGGAATATCACTACAATCCCTGCTGCTGATGTCTCTTAAAAGAGGGCTGATTTGCACAACGGGGATGGACCTTGAGGGCAATATGCTAAGTGACAAGAGCCATAGAGAGGAAGACAAATACTGTCTGGTATCACTTAAGTGTGGAATCTAAGAGCAAAAACAAAAACAGACTCACAGAAACAGAGAGTAGAAAAGGGTTGCCAGGAGCTGGGGGTTGAAGCAAATGGGGAAAGGTTGATAAAAATATACAAAAACATTCACGTTTAAGATGAATAAGGTCTGAGGGTCGAAGGTAACGCACGGTGACTATAGCTGATAACATTGCATTGTATGCAATGTAGAACTTAAATGTTCTCTCTCTCACTAAGAGTAGAACTTAAATGTTTTCTCTCTCTCTCTCTCTCTCTCTCTCTCACACACACACACACACACACACACATGCAAGATAGATACGTGAGGTGATGGAAATGTTAATTAACTAGATGGGCGAATCTTTTCACAATGTATCTGCATATGAAATCACCATGATGTACACTTTATATGCCAATTACACTTCAAGGAAAGCTGAAATTAGCGAAGAGTGCCAATATCTGCCTCACAGACGCCATCTGCTGGTGACTCCAAAGCCTCAGCTTCCTAAGGCATCTGAGCTGAGCTGGGTTCCATGAAAAGGAGAGGTTGGCACTGACTCCACTCTCTCGGCACCATTATTTCTGTATAGTGATTTGGGAAGTCTTTGATAAAAGTGGTCTTTCAGTTTCTAACCTTTACAAACTAATAGCTTTTCAGCTACTCCAACGAAGAAAGAATATACAGCTCCACGAGAAGTAGACAACAGTTATAAGACAAAGCTTGGTCTCAAATTCCAAAGCAATTCCCATACTGTTTTAATCATGCTGGGTATAGACATGGATTCTTTAGTATAGAGTTAGGTGGCAACATACAAATCATGAGAACTTAGTGTTATTTTTTTGCCCACACAGTCTATTGTGGGCCAGTGTCTTTTCAGGGCAACTTCTTTGCAAACAGTGCCTCAGGGATCCAGGCAAATTCCACCTGGGGACCCTGTTATTTCAACAGGCAGCCCTATGATTACCACAGCAGGAAGAGAAAGAACATGGGGACTCTCATGCTTTCTCCTATGCTTTGGCTCCAAAGTCACTGGCCCTGCTTAAGTACAAGGCAGCTGGGAAATTTAAGGCAAAACATGGACATCTGTTGAACTTCAAGCATCTCTGCAACAGAACACTTCTTAAGGGGAAATTAATTCTTGTGGATCCCCAAGCATTCAGCAATCCTAATACGAGAAATGCTAACTTTAAAAGACTGATCTTTATTTATGAAAATGTCTTTATCATTGTAAAAATGTTAATCATAACTGCAAAAGATAACTTTTACCAGATTTTTTTTTTTTTTAAGAAAGAAGAAATGTTATCATTAGCTAGCGGTGAGCCCCAGCTCTGCCACTTACTAATGACATGGATTAGGCAATCTATTTAACATCTCACCTCCCTCAATTTCTCTACTGTAGTATAGTGAGAATGAAAGGAGGCTGAAAACAGTATGATGGCAACACTATTAAAATAGAAACAGGGACAGCAGGCTGGCTCAGTCAGTAGAGCATGTGACTCCTGATCTCCAGTTGTAAGTTCAAACCCCACATTAGGGGTGGAGATTACTTAAAGATAAAATCTTAAAAAATAAAATAAAATAGGAACAACATTCTACGTAGAAGACAGAAATTCACCAACACTGAGCACAGGCCTATCATACATATTTGAAGGAAGAAAACTGAATAACTGAAAATCCAAAATTATCTATTGTAATTGACTTTGGAAGGTGTGGAAATTTCTATTCTTCCATTTTTTTCTTATTTTTTCAAAGTTGCTAGAATGAGGGGTACCTGGGTGGCTCAGTTAAGTGTCTGCCTTTGGCATAGGTCATGAACCCAGGGTCCTGGGATCCAGCACTGTACTGGGCTCCCTGCTCAGCAGGGAGTCTGCTTATCCTTCTCCCTCTGTCCCTGCCCCTGCCTGTTCTCTTTCCCTCTCTAAAAAAAAAAAAAAAAAAAAAAAAAAGCAAAAAATCTAGAATGAGCCGGGGTTATTTCCATAAGGGGAAAAAATCCTATTTCTAAAATACTATGAAAGAGGCAATAGAGAAAAGTACTTTAAAAATAAGCATGTTTTACAAATATAAGCCAGTATTTTAAGTTAAATGTATTCTACTTTGTCACAATTCAACATATGTTTTTATTTTATTTATTTATTAATAGATTTTATTTATTTATTTGACAAGAGATCACAAGTAGGCAGAGAGGCAGGCAGAGAGAGAGAGGGAAGCAGGCTCCCTGCTGAGCAAAGATCCTGACACTGAACTCGATCCCAGGACCCTGAGATCATGACCTGAGGCGAAGGCAGAGGCTTAACCCACTGAGCCACCCAGGCGCCCTATTTATTTATTTTTGAAAAGATTTTATTTATTTATTTGACAGAGAGAGATCACAAGTAGGCAGAAAGGCAGGCAGAGAGAGAGGAGGAAGCAGGCTCCCTGAGGAGCAGAGAGCCAGATGTGGGGCTCGATTCCAGGACCCTGAGATCATGACCTGAGCCAAAGGCAGAGGCTTAACCTACTGAGTCACCCAGGCGCCCCTCAACATATGTTTTTAAGAAATTATTACTTTAATAGTTTCCTCTAATCTTTTTCCTTCCTAGGTTGCTTGCTTTTTAAATTTTTTTTAAGAAAGTGGGCATTTGTAAATGGTCTAAACCATGAATTTGGGGCATCAAAACACCTACCAGAAAAATTTCCATAGGAAACTCCAGTGGGTACTGATTGAAAGAAATTCTGATACATTTGTTGATTCTCAGCACAACAACAGCAGTTAGAAATAGTAGGATGCTGGTAGAATTAGCTTTTGGGAGAGTTACACAGTAGTTAACTATGTTCTGAAAGAAAACAAAATTACAAAGGCTTAGTAAGGGGTATGATAATTGCCTCTATCTAGAAAATGACACTCTAGATTAGTTCAAAAAGAAATCCCTAAGCAGTGTTTCTGGGCACAAATGTCTTTATAAGTATTACTAGCACAGTGGAGGCAAATGGAAAGATGGAGATAGATATAGATATAGATATAGATATAGATATAGATATTTTTTTAAGTTGAAAAAGAGATACTAAAAGATAATAATGCCCAGTAAGGAGAGAATACACTTTAATGTTTCAGTGTAATGGAAGGGACCCAGGAGTTCTGTTTATCAGCCTACTCTTTTTACTAATTTTTCTAGACCACTGATGGATGTTCTTTAGCATGGCTCCTATGCCATTCTTGCATCAAGGGACAACGTAGCATCTTATATTCTTTAGATGTTTTAGGATACAGGTCTGCTATGAGGCATGTAGTGGGAAGAATTATGCTAGATTACAGTATTTTAAAAACCAACTTTTAATGTAAATCATGTTTGCCTGAAAGGGCTGGGCAAAATGGTTAATGCAACTGAGAACATGATACCACCGGCATCGGTATTTAATTACGACTGTAAATCCAGAAGAGATGAAATTATTTCTAAGACCTTGTTGACTAAGCCGCCTATGCAGCAATCTCTCCACTTGAGTCCACTCCCTTTTGGAGGCAAGGGGAGGGGCACCTGTATATCTGGGTGAGGGTAGAAATTACTCACATAGAAGAAGGAGATGGGGCCAGCGTGAAAACTAATCATAATCCCGAAGATGCAGGTCAGCTGGGACAGGATAATGTGTAGTGCCGTGGCAGCCAGGTAAGCGCTGATCGCAGCCTCCGGAAGGTACGTGGCGACGAAGCCAAAACCTAACAAGCCCATTGAGAGCTGCAGGAGGTTCGGGTGGAAAAGAAAACCGGAGTGAGACAGATTGTCACCAAACCAACAAAGGCATCACGAAAAAGTTCAATGAGGCCCCTGGGGTTAACTCTGCCCTCTCTTTTTCTCAGGACGGCAATTGATAAGGTCCGTCTTTGGTGTTGATTCAGGAGCTCTGCACCGCTGCGAGACCACACTTCCTTCCTGCTTCGGGAGCACCTACGCTGAAGTTCTTGCCCTAGCATCTATTGACCTTATTAATGTGAGGTTAACAGTGACCAAGTGGTGATTAGAACAAGCTTTTGCCTTTTTAAGGGCCCTTTTGTTAGATGTTTTGATAGCCCTTTTCAGGAGATGTTAATATCCCTGTGAGGAATGCGGCTTTTCACAAAGGGAAAAGACAAGTTAAAAAACCCCCAGGTTCCAGCTCAGACTGGTCGGCCTTTGACCTTTATCTTTACTAAGAATGATTAAACTGAATTTATGTCTTCAGGATTATATACATAATAGATAATATGTATATATAAGAAATAAATTCATTTCTATAAATCCAGTATATATAATAAATATAATTTATATATTATATATGCATATGTACATGTAAAATACCATATTACACTTAATATATAATTTGTATATTTACATTTTGAATAAATAAATGTAATGATATATTATATAATTAAACTTATAAAATTTATCTGATTATATATTTATATATAATTACATATAATAATTCTATATTTATATATAATTACATATGCCACAAATTATACATTAAATGTAGGTTACAATTCAGTATTTTATATGTACATGTGCATATATATGTTATATATGTATATTATATATATATATATATATATATATTATATATATATTTAAATATACAAAGGATCTAAAAGGGTAGACCCCAAACTATTAAAAAAGTTACTCTTGGGGAATGGGATTGAAAGTTGGGGCAATATTGGGGCACCTGGGTGGCTCAGTCAGTTAAGTGTCTGCCTTAGGCTCAGGTGGTGATCCCAGGGCCCTGGAATCAAGCCCATTATTTGTCGGGCTCCCTGCCTGTCCCTCTTCATTTGCCTCTCTCTCTCCATCAGCTTTTCCTCCAGCTCAGGTTCTCTTTCGCTCTCTCTCGCTCTCAAGTAAATAAATTAAATTTTAAAAAGGTTGGGGAAATATTTTAAGATTTATGCACTTTTTTATTATTTGACACTCTTGCAATATACGTGTTCATCTTATTTTTTTCCAAGTAGGCTCCACATCCAATGTGGGGATTGAACTCACGACCCTGAGGGCAAGAGTCACATGCTCTACTGACTGAGCCAGCCCTCCATCTTTTATAATAAAAAGCAATTTGAAAATTGTTGGATAGAGGGCTAGCCCCATTTCCCCTTAAGAAAGGAGGTTAAGAAAACTTGCACAGCTTAATGAAGAAGATGAGGAAAGATAAGTCTTGAAGCCTACTATAGTTAGCACTTCACCTCTCCTTCACTAGACGCTCTGAGAAAACCAACTTGGAAGAGTAAATCTTGGAGGTTTAAAAGCTTTTTGTTTTCAAGCTTTCAGTCAGTTGAGCACCATGTCTCTATTCTTTGATTATTATTGCCCAATATGCTCTGCTACTCTAATGGGGCCAGTCAGCTTCCTGTCTTTTGTGTGATTGGCTGATCTGTATCTATTTCTGTGTTTATGCATGAATCCCTCTTTTTTGCCCATTTCTGCCAATCCCTGTCCATCATTTCTTTCAAGAGCTCAATAAAATTCCTCTTCTCCAGGAGATGTGGTGAGAAGAGCATGATTCCTAGGGATGAAGAGCTTGGCTTCAATCCTGGCTCTGCCTCTCACAGGCTATGTGAGCTTGGACAAGTTAAGTAAACTCTCTGAGCCTGTTTCTTCATCCAGAAAAAATGAATAATACTCAACAGGCAGTGTTTTGTATGGATTACATTGTATAAAACATGTAAAACACTTAGCTCAAATCTGAGAGTAGTGACAGAGGCAAATACATTACCATTCACTTTTCATGCCATCTCTTCCTTCCACCTTGTAAGTGGCAAATACCTATAACCATAAAACTCTTTCTTGCTCAACTGTGTTGTGGCATCAGAATCTGTGTTGACCTAATTTTCTAAGCAGCGAATGTCAATCAGTCAGAGTTGGCCTATGACACAAAATCTATCACACATTCTTATAGAAAACAAGTACTAAATGTTCAGTGAATGAAGAGAAGTCTCAAAACACAGTTGTTTCCTTCACAGACAACTTCAACCAACTAAAGGTTATTCCTGTGCTTTACATTCTTTTGACATGGAACACTTCACTTTTATTAATATTAATATTAATTTGCACTTTAAAATTATCTAAAGCACAGATTCTGGAGATAGACAACCTTGAGCCTAATTCCCAGTTTGGGATCTTACTGGCTGTGTGACCTTGAGCAATTCATTTAACCTCACTATACCTTTTTTCCCCTTAAAACAAGGATCATAGTGGGCGCCTGGGTGGCTCAGTTGGTTGGGTGACTACCTTTGGCTCAGATCATGATCCTGGAGCCCCGGAATCAAGTCCCGAATCAGGCTCCCTGCTCAGGAGGGAGTCTGCTTCTCTCTCTGACCTTCTCCCACTCAAGCTTTCTCGCTCTCATTCTCAAATAATCAATAAATAGAATCTTAAAAAAAAAAGGGATCATAGTAATACCTACCCTCATACAAGGAGTTGTAAGGGTCAAACGAGAGGGATACATGTGAAGTATTTTGAACAGTGACTAACATATAACAATGAATGTTAGACATTTTCTAGTACGGACTTCTTTTTAAAATTTAAGCTTTTTATTTTAGATAACTATAAATCAATATGCAGTTGGGAGAAACATTACAGAGAAATCTATGTACTCTTTACTCAGTTTCCCCCACTGACAGCATCTTGCAAAATTATGGTTGACCCTTGAATACCACAGAAGTTAGGGGCAACACCCCCTCCCCAAACACACACAGTTGAAATCCATGTATAACTTTTTTCTTTTTTAAGACTTTATTTATTTGAGAGAGGGAAAATATGAACAGAGGGAGGGGCAAAGGGAGAGAGAGAAGCAGTCTCCTGGGCTGAGAAGGGAGCCCGATGCAGGGTTTGATCCCAGGACCCTGGGATCATGACTTGAGCGGAAGGTAGATGCCTAACCGACTGAGCCACCCAGCACCTCCCTCCAACATATAATTTTAGAGTCCCCCAAAACTTAACTCCTATTCTCCTACTATTGAGTGGAAGCCTTACCAATGACATAAACAGATGATTAACATTTGGTATATAGAAAATAAAGTATTATCAAAAAAATCATAAGGAAGAGAAAATACATTTACAATACTGTACAGTATTTATTTTTAAAAAATTGCATATAAGTGGGGCTGTGCAGTTCAAACTCATGTTGTTCAGGGGTCAATGGTAATTGTTTTAAATACTTCCTCTACATACATTTTGAACCACATCACAGTGTTATAATTTCATTTCAACCATCAAACATAATTTAGGAGGCATAAGAGGAGGAGGAAAATCTATTGTATTTATCCATATTTTTACTCTTTCCATTATTTTTTCTTCCTTCCTGATGTTCCAAGATTCTTTTATCATTTCCTGTTTAGAGAACTTCATTCACCATTCTTTTAAGGTAGGTCTGCTCCTAGCAAATTCTCTTAAGTTTTCCTTCCTCTGAGAATGTCTTGATTTCCCTGTGATTCTTTTTTTTTTTTTTTTTTTTTATTTGACAGAGAGATCACAAGCAGGCAGAGAGGCAGGCAGAGAGAGAGGAGGAAGCAGGCTCCCTGCTGAGCAGAGAGCCCGATGCGGGGCTCGATCCCAGGACCCTGAGATAATGACCTGAGCCAAAGGCAGCGGCTTAACCCACTGAGCCACCCAAGCGCCCCTTCCCTGTGATTCTTAAAGGATATTTTCGTTGGGTATATGATTTTGGACTGACATTTCTTTGCTTTTAGCAAACAGAAAATATTGTGTAACTTCCTTCTGGACTCTATGGTTTCTGATAAGAAATCTGCTGCCATTTGAGTTGCTCAGCCCCTGCCCCATTCCATAGGCAAAGTGTTTCTTTTACTGCTTTTGAGAGTTTTTTCATTGTCTTTAGTTTTTAAGAGATTGGCTATAATTTGTCTTAGGGTGGATTTCTATGGATTTATCTTGTTTGAAATTTTCTCAGCTTCTTGACTCTGGATGCTTACATCTTTTGCCAAATTTGGGGAGTTTTCAGCTGTTATTTCTTCAAGTAATTAAGCCCCCATCTTTTTTCTCCTCTCTTTCTGGGACTCTCATGATATAAATATTAGATGTGTTGTTATCGCCCTACTTGTCCCTGAGTCTCTGTTCATTATTTTTTCCAGTCTGTTTTCTCTCTGTTGTTGTTCCTATTGGGCAATTTCTATTGTTCTTTCTTTGAATTCATTCATTCTTTCCTGCCTTCTCTACTCTTCCAAAATTTCCATTTGTTTCTTCATATTTTCTGTTTATTTGCTGAGACTTTCTATTTTCGCACTTGTTTCAAACATGTTCATTATTGCTTGCTGAAGCATGTTTAGGATGGCTGCTTTAAAATCTTTGCCAGATAATCCTAACATCTCTGTCATCTCAGTGCTGGCATCTTTTTATTGTCTTTTTTCATTCAAGTTGAGATTTTTCTGGTTCTTGACATGACAAGTAATTTTCAGTTCAATGGTGGACATTTTGGACACTATGCTATGAGATGCTGGATCTTATTTAAACCTGTGTTTTACCTTACTTATTTTGACAAAGTGATGGCAGGGGAGAGGGCAGGTGCCATCTTGTTACTGCCTGTAGATGTAGATGTCCAGCTTCTCCCCTAAGCTTCCACCGACAGCTGTGGCAGTAAGGACTCTTCATTATTGCTGGGCAGGGGTAGGAGTTCTGGCTCCCACTAGCCCTCTGCTGATATTATCCTGGTTGGAAGAGATGAGAATACCTTACTTCTTCCCATTTGGCGTCCACTGACACTACAACAGAAGGGGTTGTCCTCTTCCGAAGGCCATCTCTGATACCACCCTAGTGAGGAGTAGGAAGAGGGTCTCATTATTGCACAGTGGGAATGAAAGTCTTGACTCCCTATTTGGCCTTCACTGACAACACCCCAGTTGGGGTTGTGGGTGTGCACTTCATTATGGGTGGGTAAGGGTGAAAGTCTGGACTCCTCAGTTGGCCTTTGTTGGCATGAGGGGGTTGATATCACAGTTTTGTTTTGTTTTTCCTTGGTGTTTGTCTGGAGTATAGTAGTTATACATAAAAGTTTTCAGCTTTGCTAGCCTTTTTTGGTGCTGTGGCTATAAAGAACAGACTTCTGTTAGGGCTTTGTGTGTGTGTGTGTATGTGTGTGTGCATAGGTATTAGCATTCGCGTTTCTGGCTTCCTTAGCACCAAGTTTGAAATATAAGAGGCAAAAAGAAAACCCTGGAAACTCACCATTGTGTTATTCCTTGGATCCTGAGGTTCTGAGCCAGTTTGCCTTCTCTCCACTATTCAGAGTCTTATGTTTGTGTTATATATAACGTTCCAAGGCTTTTAGTTGTACTTAGCAGGAGGCATAGGGAAAAGTAGATCTATTTCATCTTTCTGGAAATGGGATATCTTTTCCTTTATTAGATGAAAAAACTAAGGCTCAAAGGAGGCAAGAGAACATGCCCAGGGTCATGTAGAGAATTCATAGGTTGTTGATTTATATTCTGTTATTTTGTCTTCTCTTACAAGATTGATTTTTTTAACCATAGGAATTACATCTTCTTTTTTATTTTTGGTCTCTGTCAAAGTACCCAAATTCATATTTCTGTACCCAGTAGTTATCACATACTGATGCTTACTTACTATGTGACAGGCTCTGTGTTGAGTGCTTTACATGTATTTTCTCACTTAGTCCTCATAAGAACCCCATGAAATAAATGTTATTATTCCCATTTTATACATAAGGAAACCAAGGCCCATAAATGTAAGGTAATTTAAGTCAGTCGTATAGCTGGTATCTGGGCTAGACTTTGTAGGCTTTCTTTTTTTTTTTTTTAAGATTTTATTTATTTATTTGACAGACAGAGATCACAAGTAGGCAGAGAGGCAGGCAGAGAGAGAGGAGGAAGCAGGCTCCCTGCTGAGCAGAGAGCCCGATGCGGGACTTGATCCCAGGACCCTGGGATCATAACCTGAGCTGAAGGCAGAGGCTTTAACCCACTGAGCCACCCAGGCGCCCCGAATTTGTAGGCTTTCAATAAAACCTTATCTAATAAAAGATGGTTCCAGGAGAGATCAGCAAAAATTAGCTAGAGAGTAGATTGGTTGCAAAGAAAGAGAAATAAAGCTAGCATATATGACTTCTGTTCAATGGGTGAAGCTTTAGATGTTAGTCTCTGAGAGAAAATCAAAGACACACCAAAAATAAGTTTTGATATTTTAATAAGTCATTGATATTACTGTTAGCTGTGCTCCTGAAATTTTAAAAAAAGGATTCCAGATCTTGCTCTCATGCTTACTTAACCCAAAGTTTAGTACACGAGCTTAAGAGTGTTAGTCTTGTTGAAAGAATATAAAGACATTTTTAAAAAACATGAAATCATGAATAGAACTCTAGACCATAGTCCCTAGGACCTTCTTTAGACAAATGAGAATGTTCAGTGTCTCATCCTAAATCAATGGTGAATTGCTTCTGAGGAGGGGAGAAGTTTTGTCACTAAGGAGAGCCTATCCACACATCCTGTAAGTGTTCATAAATAAGCAACTAAAGTTCCAGATATATCACGACAGATAACAGGAGCAACAAAAGGAAGGGGTCCCTTTGTAGCTCCTTTATTTATTTATTACTTCTTCAGGGGTTCGGAGACTCTGATCCTACCTGAATAATCCCAGTCAGAAAAGTTGTGGATGCCACCACACTCAAGGATCTGTTATAGTCCGCAAGGAAGGAGGGCTTGGAAAAGTCATCCTTGATGAAAGTTCCCAGAATCAGGTTGCCATTGTTGAACGGGTACAACCTCAGCACATCAATCATCAGAGCACTCACAAGGAAGAAGGAACCTATGAAAGAAGGTGTTGGGGCAGAAAGTGCAGTTTTAAATCCAGGTAACCTGACATATTGAAAAATCAAAGCATGGTCTAATGTTGTTTTGTTTTTGATCTGAAGAACTTTTCTTTTTTGAAGGTGGCCATTGGAAAAGTAAGAAGGAGCAAAGAAAAGAACTCTGGTTCCACATGCCATGAGCATCTTCCAGAATTTAGATCTTGGTGGTACAGGTATTAACCTCTTTGCAATATGGGCACAAGGAGTGGGATTCAAAGGGAAATTGGCTGGAAATGAATATCAGGCTCAGCCACTGTACCTGCTCTTAGAGATGGTGAATGAAATTGAAATGGTAGGTAGGCAGATCAGAAAACAAAGCTAATCAATAATTATAAGAAAAATAGCACCTATCATTTGTGAAGGATTTATTAGTTGCAAAATGACAATGATATAAACCTGTTTCAAACATGATTTCATTCAGTCCTCCAATCTACATAGTCACATATGGGAGTAAAGGCAAATCTTACCTTTAAATTACCTAACAGAAACAAAACTCCTGTATCCTTATTATCAGTATCTGGAAATGATTGTGCTATGCCCCCAGGAACTTGGAAATATGGGAATAAATTGTCCTCTCAGTCTCCCAATGTAAAATCAATACATAATGGATTTTAGTAAAGACATGTGATACTGTCCTTTAAAAAGGCAGGATAGCACTCTGCATCTAGAATAATGGGGTGGTAATCAGACTGAATATACAAATGTATCTGGAGAAAAAGTGTGTCCGTCAAAATGATCAGTGCTGGTTGGGTGGTCAGTTGTTCAGTGGGGAAGCCAAGAAAAAGGCCTTTACTAAGTAGATGTTGACAATGCCCTTTCAAGATTATTGCACATTTTGTGGTTTGATTGCTATGACGGTTTACCTAAGTGAAGAAAATATGCTGCTTGTATGACTTTCAACTAGTTTGGTCCCTGTAAAAGTTATTTCTAATTATAAATTAGTAGATGCACTTCTGACTCAGGGAAGGAAAGTGCTTGTCCTACGGATTTGAGTGCTTTGCTTACATGACAGCCTTTTCTCATTGTAAATTAATAAGGTAATATAGTTATTGAAATGTAGGCCCATGGACTTGGGTTATTACAGGTCTAGCTGAAAGATGGATCTACTCTAGGAATATTGGCAAACTTGCCTCTGGATCTTCTGGGTTGAGGGCAGTCAGATTTCAATGTGTGTTAATTTCACCAGGGAAAGTACCCCTGCTGTCTAGTTCCTTTGGGAAAGTGCTAGCCGACTCTGTCTGGCAGTGACATTGATAATGGCACAGTCTCTGAAATCTGAACACTCACCCTATGGATAGAATGTCCATCTTCTGCCTCCTTTTATCCTACCTTAAACATAGCAATAAGGAAATGATTGAGGCAGAAAGTCCATCCACCCCCTGTAGTTCTAGTGCTGAACTCACCAATGGACATTTGATGACATGATCCCAAAATGATGTAAATTACTGAAGAACAGAAAGCCGCATAACAGACATTGAGAGGAGGAATCAGTTGCCTCGTCAGCAAGCTAAATGTCAGGGCTGAAAAACAAGATAATTCAAGTAAGAAAAGTTAGGCTGGCTTTTCAAAGTCACCTTTAATGAAAACTGTAAAGAATATTGAAAATAAAAATGATCTACGTGTCTAGCTGCTGAGTGTGGTAATAAGATCTCTTAACCTGCAGCCCGTCATTAGTGCCTTTTATTACCTCCTTTGATATCTAGCTTCTCCTCCTACTTTACCACATGCTTTTACACCTCAGTTCTAAATCACAGGCTTAAACACCTCTCCTTTCAAGGTCTTCATGCTAATCATGGAAAACAGATGTCACAAGAATAAGACCTCTGATTCCAGCAGCTGAGAAACAGCCCCATTTCACACCTTGTCTAATAGCAGAAGGCCCAGGCATCCTCCAGGACTGGAAATAAAGCTGGAGAACAAGAGAAAAATCATATGTAACTGGCTTGATTCCACATTGGTATGTGCAGTCTCTCTTTCATATGACAATCACTTAGGTCTCTTTCTTCAACAACTCCTTCAATGCTTACTTTCTTTTCCAAGAACACCATGAGAATTGGTAATTTTGAAGCAAATGGATTAACATGCATGGTGTCATTCTTTCATCCTTTGATGTAACAAGCCCACAGCTCCTGCCCTAAGGGTGTATCTTCTTCTTCTTCTTCTTCTTTTTTTTTTTTTTTTTTTAAGATTTTATTTGTCAGAGAGAGAGAGAGAGAGATCACAAGTAGGCCGAGAGGCAGGCAGAGGCAGAGGGAGAAGCAGGTTCCCTGCTGAGCAAGGAGCCCGATGCGGGACTCGATCCCAGGACGCTGGGATCATGACCTGAGCCGAAGGCAGCCGCTTAACCAACTGAGCCACCCAGGCGTCCCTTCTTCTTCTTTTTTTGAAAGAGAGAGAGAGAGAGAGCACGTGTACATGTGCAAGGGCAGGGGAGGATTGGGGTGGGGCAGAGGGTGAGGGAGAGAGAGAATCTTGAGCAGTTTCCTTCCCAGCATGGAGCTCCATGCGTGGCTCAATCTCATGATCCTGAGATCACAACCTGAGTCAAAATCAAGAGTCTAACAACCAGCCGACTGAGCCGCCCAGGCACCCCTGGGCCATCTATCTTCAACTTACATCATACCATGTGCTCGCTTGAATTCAGTTATGAGTTCAGTGAGCCAATTTAGTGTCTTAGACAAGAAAGGTTTTGTGTGTGTGTGTGTGTGTGTGTGTGTGTGTGTGTATAGAAGTTCAAACATGTACAAAAACAGTATAATGGGCTCCCATTATACCCATCATCTGCTAAAACAGTGGTCAACTCATGGCCAATCTTGTCTCATCTATTCCCTCACTCCTCTCCCACTTCATATTATTTTTAAGCAAATCCAAGACAGGAAATTATTTCATCTGGTGATATTTCAGTACATATCTTTAAAAGAAGACCCTCTTATTTTTTTTTAAAGATTTTATTTATTTATTTGACAGAGAAAGACACAGTGAGAGAGGAAACACAAACAGGGGGAGTGGGAGAAGGAGAAGCAGGCTTCCCGCTGAGCAGAGAGCCCAATGTGGGGCTCGATCAGGACCTGAGCCAAAGGCAGACACTTAAGACTGAGCCACCCAGGCACCCCAACTCTCTTATTTTTTTTAAAGCAATCTCTACACCCAATGTGGGGCTCAAACTCACGACCCTGATATCAAGAGTCTTGTACTCTACTGATTGAGCCAACCAGGTGCCCCAAAAGAAGACCCTCTTTTATTTCACTTATTTATTTATTTTTAACTATTTTATTTATTTGAGAGAGAGAGCATGAACAGGGGCAGAGGCAGAGGGAGAGGGAGAAGGAGAGGGAGAAGCAGATTCCCCACTGAGTAGGGAGTCCAGTGCAGGACTTGATCCCAGGACTCTAGGATCATGACCTGAGCTGAAGGCAGACACTTAACCAGCTGAGCCACTCAGGCGCCCTAGAATACCCTCTTTTAATTTAACTACAATACCATCATTATACCTAAGAAATTAATAATGGTTCTCTATCAAATATCCAGTCAACGGTCAAATTTCCCTGCTTATTTCATAAATGGTTGTTGTAGTAGAGAACCCCTAAGATGATCTGTAATGGCTAATTAGTTTTCCTGCCTCTGTGTGATCCTCACCCCTTAAGTGTGGGATGGACCTAGTAACTTGCATCTCATAAACAGACTACAACAAAGATGATAGGATGTCACTTTTGAGAGTAGATTGCAAGAAGACTGTGGGTTCTATCTTGGTTTCTCTTTGACTCATTGTCTCTTTCATCTAGGCCACCAGCTGCCACAGTTGGCTTCAAGAATGTGTGACCTATAAAATTAAACTGGGCTTAGAAGGCACCACACTTGGCTTAATGCTCTAGTCTGACCATCTTGAAATTCTGAATATTTTTTGGACTAGGGGTTCTGCATGTAGCTGATCCTGCCAGCTGCCATATTAGGACGGCACTCAAGTGCTCTTGGAGATGAAGGCCCACAAGGTGAGAAACCCAGGCCTGTCAGCAGACACACGAGCGAGCCTGAGGACTGATCTCCAGCCTCTGTGGAGCCTTGAGATGACCGACAGCTTGACTACAACCACATGAGAAACCTTCAGCCAAAGATTTGGGGTGATCTTTAAAAAAATTTTTTGCTATTATATGTTGTACTATCTTTGACAATCTTTATCAGATTCAAATGAAGTTCTCACATTGGTTGATATGTCTCTTAGATCTTTGTAATTTATAATTTCTCCTTCCACATTTTTTTTTCCCTAAGCAAGGTTCTAATGATTGCAAAAACAAAAAACCAAACCACCTCCCTCAAGCCCCTCCCACACACACAGAAAAATTGCTCAAATTAGCTTAAGCAAAACAGGAAATTTACTAAAAGTGTACAAAGGACAGTTAGGCCTCATCAGAGACTGGAACCGGAACTAAAAAAACCATCAGGATCCAAGGCAGTGATCTCCCTATTTTCTTTGTCTCCAGGCTTGCACAGTCTCCTGTCTTTGTTTCCAGTTTGGGGCCACTGTGAACAACATTGCCATGAATATTCTTGTACATGCCTCTTGGTGCATCAAAGTACAAGTTCCTTGGGATTCTATATTCTGAAGCATAATTGCTGGGGCATTTTTCCAGAACATGCCAACCTGTTTTCCAAATGGTTATACAACTTACACTTCCACCAGCATTGTATGACAGTTCCCATCATCTACATCTGTGTTAGTACATGATAGTGTCAGATTTTAAATTTTAGTGTGTATGAGTTAGTGTGTAACTCATTTGAACCTCACTTTTCACTTCACTGATTGTCAGTAATGTTGATCAGTCTCATTGAGTTGTTTCCTTACAGATTTGTAGGAGTATATATATTACAGATTTAAATCCTTTGTTGGGTACATGTATTACAAATACCTCTCCAATTCTGTGGTTTGTCATTCAATCTTTATGTGTCTTTGAATGAACAAGACTTTTACTTAATTCAATTTATTAGTCTTTTCCTTTTAAGCAGGCTAGTGCTTCTTATGTCGTCTTTGAGAAATCATTTTCTACTTCAAGATCATGAAAATATTCTTTTACATAATTCTAAAAATCCTTGATTGTTTTACCTTTCACATTTAGGCCTTTAATCTACCAGGAATAGATTTTTATGTATGGCATAGGGAAGATGTCTAAAAATTGTGGGTTTTTTGGTGCTGTTTTTGTTGTTTTTAGTAGGTTCCTGCACAGCATGGAGCCAATGTGGGGCTTGAATTCATGACCCTGAGATCAAGAGCTGAGCTGAGATCAAGAGTCACACACTTAACTGAGCCACTCAGGTGCTCCTAAAAATTATTTTTTCATGTAAGTATCCAATTGTTTCATATCATTCATTAAGAAGTTTGTTTCTATAGTGAAACATATGATATAAAGTATGCAACATATATTTGTATGACTCTTTTCTGTTCCATTGGTCTGATTGTTACTGTAATACCACACCATCTTGCTATTTTGTAGGAATTAGTTTAGTAATAGTTTTGATAATTTAAGTCAAAAATGCCTATTTTTGTTGTGAAATATAATATACATATAGAAAGTGCATTAAAATAAATGTTGATGGGGTGCCTGGGTGGCTCAGTCTGTTGAGTAACTAACACTTGGTTTCGGCTCAGGTCATGATCTCCGGGTGTGGGATCAAGCCCTGGGTTGTGTTCTGTGCTCAGGAGGAGTCTGCTTGGGATTCTCTCCCTCTGTTCCTCCCTTAACTCATGAGCTCTCTCACATGCACTCTCTCCCTTTCTCTCAAATAAATAAATCTTAAAAAAAAAAATAGATGTTGGGGCACCTGGGTGGCTCAGTGGGTTAAGCCTCTGCCTCCAGCTCAGGTCATGATCCCAGGGTCCTGGGATCGAGCCCCTCATTGGGCTCTCTGCTCAGCAGGGAGCCTGCTTCCCTCTCTCTCTGCCTGCCTCTCTGCCTGCTTGTGATTTCTGTCTGTCAAATAAATAAATAAAATCTTAAAAAAAATAGATATTGAGCTGAATGAATACTTATAAAACAAACACCTTTGTTACCACCATCCAGGTCTTTGTTATAATTCCACCTGTTCCCACAAAGGTATTCATTATTTTGACTTGGTGATAAAAATTTATTTGCTTTTCTTTATAGCTTTACCAGTAGTATACATATTTCTAAACAATAGAGTTTAGTTCAGTATGCATTTTCAGTTTGAATTTTTTATATATATATATATATATATATATATATATATATTTTTTTTTTTTTTTTTTTTAAGGAATTTATTCATTTGACAGAGAGAGACATAACAAGAGAGGGAACACAAGCAGGGAAAGTAGGAGAGGGAGAAGCAGGCTTCCTGCTGAGCAGGGAGCCCGAAGCAGGGCTCGATCCCAGGACCCTGTGATCATGACTTGAACTGAAGGCAGATGCTTAATGACTGAGCCACCCAGGTGCCTGAGTTTGAATTTTATATTAATGGAGTTACACTGTATGTAATTTTAATTTCTGCTTCTTTTGCTCAGTATCATGTG